CAAATTTTGAACTATGCTAATTCCGATGCTAATACCCAAACACACACACACCCACACACACACCAACAACCAATTCATTTGAGCGTAACAAGCGCTAAACAACCCAAAAAACTAAAAAAAAAAAATACACCAAAATGAGAACGAAACAATTAAGCTGCAAAGCTTTCAATATTTACGTAATATATTCCCCACTCTTGCACTCGATAAAAAGAAAGTTTTTATACATATATATTAGCTGCATTTGCATTTCCATTAATATTTAAATTTATAAATTATATTCCACTGATTGCGTAAGCTAAAACGCAGTTAAAGTCCGCTAAACCGGTTTCGCAATCCAGCCAAAACAAAAGGCAGAAAATAAAAACAATTATTATAACAAGTTAACTAACTGACAACACTTTCGCAGTATGAGAAGTGGGTTCCCATGCCTTGAAAGTTGCCTTTTTTCCTTACTTTTTTCTGTGTTTTTATTTTTGTTGTATTTTTTTATTGCAGTTCAAAGTAGAACAACAGCGCGGCATTAGCAAATCGCGTGCTCAGTGCTCTGTATCTGCGTTGGGATCTGTTTTCCGATCTACTACCTTTTGTTCTCGAGCCCCGCGGGTTTTCTCTTTTTTCCTAACCATTTCCGCATACGAGCGAGTGAATTGCGAATTGAATCTGATACTTTTTTCCCTTTGAGATGCGATGCCCATGCGCTACAATGTATGTGCATAAGCAGATCCGAGCAAGTCAACTTGGCCAACAACTTGGGGCCCAGATAGCGCTCCCCACTTGGATCCCCTCTTTTCTCCCCACTTGGATCCCCACTCGAATTTGGAGCAACAGTCGGCGGGTTGAGGGTCAGACAGGTAAATAAAAGCACTGCTCTCCGAGATTAGCTTTCGTCTCGCACTCCACTTTTGAAATGGAGACACTTTACAGGGAATTTATTCACGCTGCTGCCACTTAATTCCCATATAAATATTTAAATAATTTCAGCGAGTGCAGCGAGAAATGTTTCTATATGCTTGGTTATTAGTACAGAAAATAATCCAATTTATTTTTCAAAATTGTGCATCAGCATTTGAAACTCTTCAAAACCTGTTCACTCTATTTATTTTTATACAAATAATGCAAGCTCATGGGAAAATAATTTAAGCTATGAAATTAGTAAGTCAAACTAAACAATACGCTTATTAGGTTTAGTTCATTTTATTTTTCTATACACATTATTGCTTGAGAAAATAAGTTGTTATCGTAAAATTCCTCAAAAATTACCAGATAAAATTAGCCAACCGCAACTAAAAAGTTTTTTGACGCATGTTTCTCTGATATTATATTTCACATAAGTGATTAAATTTATTCTTTATTTAACCTTTAAACAATTTAAATAAATTATATTTTAGTTAGTTTTAAGTAATTAAATAAACATTTTTAAACTGAAAAGAAAACCTAACCAAATCCATATTATCAAACGAAATGCAAAGAATTCCGTGTAAGAACTCTATGAACTCGAGTGGGCAAGGTAAGACCCATTGAGAATATGAAGTTCAGTTCGATTTCTGATTAGCAAATCGATGGTAAAGAGCGTGTGTTGAGTGAGTGAGCCAATAAATAATTACGTATACGACCTGTGGCCGTGTGATTTTCGATCAAACGAGTGTGTGTGTGTGTGTGGGTATGCGTTCATTTGGACTCGAGTGCTCAAATCGACATCGACATCGAAAGTAATTGACCTTGCCTATTTTCACGCGCCACACATTTTCCAAAAGTTTGTTTTCGTTTTTCCTCTCTTTGGTTCTTGTGGTGTTTCTTTTTGATTTTTTTTTGTTTTTTTTGGGTTAAACAACAAACTTTGGCTTTAAATAGAACTTTTTTTGGGGCGGTGAATTGGTGAGAGTTTCATGAGTAACACTTGAACTTCACACCCAATTTACTTATCTTTCTGATTTTTTTACTGGGTTTTTCTAACAAAATGCAGAATTGTGCATTAATGAGGCAAAGTGAGCCGCTGTGAAGTAATTCCAATTGTTATGCAATCAAAAAAGTGACAAAAGACTCGGCTTCTCCGCTGCCTTCACTTTATGTTTGCGATTGTTGGCAATTTCAATAATTGAACACTCTTTTTTTTAATAAGCAGCAGTGTGTATATAACTTTTAACAATCACATCGGTCGCATTATTGTATCTGTGTATCTGTATCTTTATTTTGTATCCGTCTCTGACTTTTAGATTGCTTCATGCTCGATTAAACGAAGCTATTGAATAGGAGCTATCTGTGGTCAGCACTCTTCAAAAAGAACGCCCCTTTTGGATAAAAAGGGGGCGTAACGCCAGACTGCAGCACTTGATAATGAATTGAGCCCCAATGACATGAAATATAATACAAGTCCCTCAAGTCTCAAGCTGCAGTGTCAGATGTTTACGATACCCACAAATATGTAAACATGGCATTATTTTTTTTTGGTTTTATTCCCTCCTTGAATCGAGCCGCCAAATGTTTCCACGTATTTGCCAAGTTATGATATCTTTGCCTCGAATTTCGAGCATTTGGAATTAACAAGAACTTGTTTACTGCGAAAACTTATGCTAAATTGATTATGGATTGAATGGAATCAGCACAAAATTGAGGAGAGCATAAGAAATGCTTTTTGGGTGTTTAATTGGGGGGAAACCAAAGAATTGTGGGATTCAGATTTAGGCTAATTCTACATAACTTCAATCCTTTTTTAGCTCTTTTTGGATTTAAATGAAGCTAGTATTTAGATTTATAAGATAATAAATGATACTATTGCATTTTCATTTTCAGTTTACCACGGACTGGCAGGCCCAATTATATTCTATATTTATCGGCTAGGAATTCAAGTAATTGCAGTTAACAACGAATTTCGCATTGATTTTGAATTCGCAGAGAGCAGAGCGGAGTATAAATAAACTGCCCAAAAAACAGTTGACATTTCAACGAAATGCAACAAGAAGTTCAATATGCAACAGGCAAGTTTGGATCGAACACTGCCAATAAAATGTCAATCGGTGCTGATGCACTGCATCATCGGGCCAAAGAGGCGGCCAAAAGAAGGGGGAAAGGGGGGGAAGGCACATTTTGGCAGCTGTTGTGCGGTGCCGCATATAAATAGCAAAATAACCGAATAGCCAAACAGCCAGGGAGCGAGAAAAGCGAGAAGAAAAGCGGCGCGGGCGAAATTTTGTGTGCTTTCCCCCATTTGCTCCTCCTCCTCCTGTTCGCCAAATAGAAAACTTAGGAAAAACTAGAAGGCAAAGTATGCGTAGAGTTATAAAACAAAAGCCCAAACACACACACTCTTACACACACACACACACACACACACACCCAGTAGCAAAGCTGAGGAGAGCGAGGTCTATTTAAAGATTGACTACTGGCAGGAAAAGCGCTGGTGACGGCGACATTTTCACGCGGCTGACTGGGCCGCGGGGAAAATTCAGACAGAACGCACCTCAAATAAAAATGTATCTAGGCAAGAAAGATCCTCAAGATGCGATGCTCTGCTCTGCTCACTTTTGGATGTGTGTGCCAGCGCTTGTGACAAGTTTTCTCTGGCGAGAAGCTCGATGTGAAAAATCACAAGCAGAAATTTCGAAAATTGAGCACACGCCATGCGAAATAATAAAGCAATGTGAATTCCGCCCAGAGAACGAAATTTGTTAAAAATAAATTTCAAAATTTCAAGAGGCAAAATTATGAAATAAACTAGACCAGAGAGCCGGGTAAAAATTAATTGAGTTCGCCAGTTAACTGGGGGTATAATAACCTGTAACTAAATCTCTGGGAAAACCAAATACATTGTAGCTTAAAACTACAAAATGTAGCTTAAAATAACTTAATGTTCGTTGACAAAATAAATAAACTTCATTAGAGCAGACCGGCCTGCTCATCGAGTGCTTCTAAAGCCGATTCACGGTGACATTTACTCGAGGAATTTGTGGTTCCAAGTTTAATGACCACCACACGAGCACCAGCATCAGGTCGCATCCCAAAAAAAGACCTCAAATACCAACGAACTTTAGAAATCAGTCCCAAATGCCAGCTCACACGGATATACATAGAAATCAATAGCAGCGTCTCTATAGCTCTATAGCTCTATAGCTCTGGCTGAGATTACAGCACCACCAAACCGAACCGAACCGAACCACTCTGGAGATCTTGGAATGCGAAGTGAAGTGAAGGCATCTAAACCCGTTTTGGGTCAGCTTTTACACGTTGTTTGGGCCGCTTTATTGACATTTCGCCGCATCGAACGCAACAAACACAATAATAATAATACAACGACAACAACAACAACACAACTTTCACTTGTACGCATCGGCGGAAAGATGAAAAGCATTCAAAACTCCAACCAGACGCATCTCATGAATGGGAAAGATGGAAATCATCAAAGAAGCTGGGATTGGGACTGGGATTGGCTCCAAACTGCGACAGGTGTCAGACAGTCTCCACATCTTCTGAGTGATTTATTTTCGAGGGGAAACTTTTGTGGGTGTAAACTAAAGATCATTCTCGAGGTTATTTTTGACAAATTGCTTGCAAAGTTTAATTGGGATGTCCAATATTTAAAAGCGAGAAAATAATTTGTTATTTGAAAGCCACATTTCGGTAACATTAAATCTCTGAATAAGATATTTTTAAGATTTTCCTCCTTCCATTAAAGTATTCAAAAATATTTATTCAATTTAAATTTTGGTTTCTGGAGAAGTTATTTTCTCCTAGTGCTTAGTTGGATTTTCCTAAACCAGTCAGATGCTCTTTGGGAACGATAAAATCTCCACTGCATCTGCTATTAACTGAGTGGAAATCCGAACTGGAAATTTGTGGAGAAGTGCAGCTGACCCAGCTGGTTAACTAGGACAGGGACACGATTTACTTTGCTGGAAGGCTTCGCTCAAACAAGAACTTTGGGGTGGGGGTGGATAGGGGGCGTGCGTTTCATGACCTTCCCACCTTGCGTGGGCGTTGCGCTTTGCATTCCGAGTGCAACTCACCTTCTCCTTGGCACGTCCAGCGTGTTTTTGAACAGATTTGGCCAGCATGATGCCTTTATTCTCGGACATTCAGTTGAAGAGGGACCTTTTGATTAACTCGAATGGCTATTTAATTTTCTTTTTAATAGATCCACTTGGCTGGGCAACGGAACTTTCCCTTCCTCCAACGATTGGCACAACTGGAAAGCACAGTTTTCCGTTTGCGGGAAACTTTAAATGCACGAACGACAAAGATAAACAACCGAGTGTGTTGTGTTTATGATTCGAACAAACTAAACAATATCAGTGCGAAATCGGCCCCACACACTTGTTAACGTCGATATTTCGGGCCCCGATTTTTTTTTTGGCAATGCGAGACTCTTTTCGGGCGCGTCGAATTCACTCGGATTATTCAAAACAAATGGCACAAGAAGTCGGCGGACGAGCGGAGAAGGCGACGAATTGTGTGGAAGACGACAGTGATAAACGAGAGAGAACGCGATGTCGAGCCACCTGACGCCGAGCAGTGTTACCTGATGGGGCAGTGGAGCTGTTCCCCAAAGGCCCAGTCGACCAGTCGTGAATTCCCTAAAAAATCCAAGCCATTCATCACCTTCATCTGGTTCTCCCACCCAGCGTGACGTTGGTTGGGACCTCAGGTTGAACGTTAACGTTTTTTGCCTTTTTTAAAACAATTATTCAGTTATGGTACAATGCAGAAAAAAGTTACAAAGTCTGACAAAGCTATGTTTTTATATATTATTATTTTTACATAAGAAGTATAAGAAAGGTAGGAAAATCTATATAAAATGAATTTGAACAGTTGTTGACTTATGCCTATTGCCTATATTTATATGATTTTTATGAAATTTAATCCGAAATTCAAGAGTCAAACACCATCTAAAAGAAATTAGGTCAAATTATGGTGATCATTTTTTTTCCGATCTATTGGAGCTATCCGATATAAACGCACGATCCAGCCACGATCGGACATATTTACTGCGTTAAGTTATTAAACGCCTTCTGATAGTTTTAGCAAGATAGCTTTAAAACTAAGAGACTAGTTTACATAGAAACAGACAGACGGGCAGGTGGACGTATTTCGATTCAGATCGTGATGCTGATCAGGAATATATATACTTTATGGGGTCAAAGGGTTCTCCTTCACTGCGTTGCAAACTTCTGACTGACTCTGCGAGGGAATAAAAATTAGAAGGGATGAAAAATAGCAATATCAGTGCGCCATTTATTTGTTTTTTTCAACAAGTACTGCTTATTCTAGGCGCATATGCAATGCAATTATAAAAAATAAAATTATTAGTGTTATATATATGGACGTATATAAGTATTCATGCTAATCTTGTTCATTAAATCTTAGCCTTAGTCAGCGAAAAAAATATAGAAATATCAGTTGATTGAAAATAGTGCCCTTCATCGGTTCTGTGCTCTCAATATGTTGAAGTACTGGCGATATTTGTTGTGTCTTTGGTTTTTCTGTAAGCTGTGTGGAATAGCCAAATCGCAGGACAGCCCCACTTTCGAATTCCTTGTGACAGACGCACTACATCCTCTCTACGATTGGATGGCCGACCACCGGAAGGAACTTAGTAGCCAAGCCGCCACATTATTTGCAGCCTTCGAGATGCTAACGACAACAATAGACAAGCTGGACAGGATTGAGGCCGAAATCAGGAGAATGACGACAAGTGTCAGTCCGACTTCAACGTCCAACGAACAAGGATCAGGGCAGAATCCGACCAGCGAAGAAGGATCAGGATCCGGGCAGACAGACGATTATATAGACATATGAACTAAATATGAATTCGATTTATATTGTAAAATATAAATATAGCAGTTTTTTTAGATATATGTATTTTTAATATTTACCGTATTTCCTATATTTAACCGAAAACAAAGGAGATGCGCGCATCAAGGAATTCTTTTTCTAAAATTATAAATTATGCGGTAACCTGCAGAATTAAACTTGTTGTCTCACTTAAAAAACGGAGATAGCGATCCATTATCATTATGGTTTTAACAAGCAGAGACGATGCCAGGGCTATCTACATAAGCTGACATTGGACTACCTTATCACGGCAGCTTCAGCAATTAAATCCGAAACCGCAAAACGAACCTTAACGTTACACATCGAGTGCTCCTTAAATTATATTAAAAATTAAATATTAAAATTATAATTAATTAAATAATTTCATTAATTTAAATTACATATACATACATATATTAAATTTTATTAAAAAATTAATTTTAGTAACGAATGTAGGTTATTGCAAAAAGTATCAAAAATACTTGATAAATCGACAATCTCAATGAAAACTATTATTTTTTATCCAACCGTTCAAATAAACGTATTCATCAAGATTATCAATAAATTTTTAAGCTAACTCGCTGAAACTTTTTTAATAAACCAAATTTTATTAAAGGCATTTTAGACTAATTCGAGCATTTATATCTATTATTTGTATTCATTTCCATTTTTATGTAATTTTTGTAAAGTTCAATAATTTCACTATTCCTTTAGCGGCTGTTATCTGCATTACACGCTCTTACTTCACGTCGCACTCAATACCAAAGGCATTAACACATAGAAAAAGAGAAAAAAAAAACTAACAAAACTAAGTATGATTTCCGAAATTTAAAAATCCCCCATTTTAAATTTAATAATCTTTTGTGACTAATATTGGTCAGTGCACCCGCTAACGTAGGATAATGTGGAGTGTGCACTCGCTAGGTTAGGAGGGTGCATTCGCTTGACGAAAGCCCGCCTATCGGAAAGAGCGTTCTGATGCCTCTGCAGATTTATTTGGGAATCGAAATGTGTTTCCATCTCTAACAAACCGAGTTGGAATTTTGTTGTAACTTGCTGGTCATTTTCCACGGCTGTGCGACTAATTTAATTTAAACCACGGCGTCTAAAGAGTTAAAACAAGTGCTTAGAGCCAGACGCAGCGCGCTATAATAAAGAATATCTTGAGGATCTCGGCGACGAAAATGTAAATTTCTGAATACCTTGCGTGGGGTTGCTCAAACCGCATACATATATGCCCCGAATTTGTGTGTGTGGAGTTCCATTAAAAACTAAAAAGCAGGAGTGAATTTGCGTGCATTAAATTTAAAAAAAGGAAAAAGGAATTGCATTTAAAGCAGCGTAAAATCGATTTCGAGTGCATGTGTGCCTGTGCCGAGTGTTTGCATGTGTTTGTTGCAAATGTAAGAAGAAGAAGCAACTCACGCGCTACTCTCTCTCCCCACTCCTCCCCCTTTTAGCTCTACAAGCAGCTGAAAGTATAAGCCGCAATAAATTAAAAATTACCAGAAAACTGCTAGTTGGCAATAGTGAGAAACAAAAAGGCCGAATAACCAACACAGATAAAGTTCTTAAATCCAGGTATGTTAATAAATAAAAAAAGTGCGCGCCCTTGTGTGCGATTGTGCATGTGTGAGTCAGTGAGTGGGTGCCAAGAATATGTTCGTACCTAACCTTAAATTTGCCCAACTGATTACGCTAGGCGGCAACTTAAACTTCCAGTCAGATTAATAAGAAAACCGATTCAATAGCTAATACCATCATTCGTTTTTAGAAATTGAGGTTTAATTAATAAGTTTATCTAGCCAAAATTACAGTTACATTGTTAATTATAGTATGCAAATGTGTATATTTGTGGAAATCGCTCTTATCGCCTTGCTGTATACATAAAAACACCAAGTTCCGCCATCTGTTGGCACGTGCGTATGAGTGTGTGTGGCATTTTTAATTGTCTTTGATTTGATAAAATAAAAAAGAAGAGGCTCGGAGAGTAAATAAAAATAAGAAAGGAAGGTATTGAGAACAGCAACAACAATGACGCAGACACGCACACCACGAAGGCATCAAAAACACCGATGGGTGTTCGCCTGTGTGAGTAAGAAAGAGGCAGAGCGCGTTTACCGCGCTCACCTTTTGTTATTGTTGCGTTACTCGCTTGAGAGATGCCAACTCCTTTGAAATCGATCTTTTTACGGGTGATAGCTTTTAACGCAACAATTTTATACAATTTTTAAATATTAAATACAAATCCATTTATACACATTGTAAATAACAGAGTTAATGCGATTCCAAATTCCTATGGTATAAACAAACAAATTAGCAGTCAATCCAAAATGACTGTATTATTTTTAAATAGTTTTAGTTTTTTTTCTTAAAATTGAAAAACTTGATAAAGTTGTTAAAAATTATGCAAAGGTCCCCATATTGAAAAAATTTTTTTAATTGCCTTTTTTTTTTAAACAGTTGTCAGCTCTGTCTACCTTTTTGGTGCCTTTGTATGCGTGTGTTGTGTAGAATGTAAGCGGGATAGCAGTTTCAGCCTTCAATTTGCGGGTTTACGTTGATTCTAATTAAATAATTCGTTGAAATCGGACTCACTGCTTCTGTGAGGTCCATTTGAAACACACACACTCACTTCGTAACGCTTTCCTCGTTTTCCTCAAATTTTCTTTATGAAGCGCCTTAAGTTTCGACAGGCTTTTTGAGTCTGGTTTGGATTTGGCCATTTGAAAACTTGAAAAACAAGTTACTTCTGAACTCAAACTCTCCCCAGTTTAGGCTGTCCCAGTATCTGCGTACCTCTCTAGATCTTTCTCCTGAGAAACAAATACACAACACTTGCCGCGTTGCCAGCCGATTGTTTGCAATTCGCAATTGCCTTTTTGCTAGAGGCTAACGAACAACTCTTGAACTTGATGGTCGTTACCAAGCTAAAGTAAATTGGTCGATCAATACTTTTACTTCGTTTTTGTCTCAACTGGCGCATGACTTGGTCGATTAATTTACTGAATACTGAATTGTTGTTGGAATTTAGGCATTTTGAGAAAGTAAAATATTAAATATAAGTTCACAAACTTTAAATTAATTGCCCCCTTTCACTTATAGATAATAACATAATAAGTAAGGGTTTTTGATCAATCAATATTTTTGATGTTAGATGGTGCTATGTATACAATTCATTCTATTTATTGTTAGTTTTTTACATTCATGTTATTTGTTGTTGTATTAAGTAACGTAGAAATCATCAAAAACATTGAAAACAACAAAATTTTAAAACTTAGACAATCCACTTTCATCTCTTACGTTAGTAGCCAGAAGAGAAATAGTCATTTAGTTGAAGTCAATAGTTGAACATAACCATCACATATGTGTACATACATAGGTAACTGAGAAATAATTGTCTGAAATTTTGCTAAGCACGTTTTTTCCCAATCAACCAATTTGCCTTATATGTAAGAAGTTGGATCAGTCTGACGGAAGATTAATACCATTCCACATTTCACTTAATGAGCGTTGTATATAGTATTCATTTCATTTTGCAGTATTTCAAATCAGCAATCTGAAAATGGAACAGGCTTAATTAGAACATGCGAAACCACCTGGTATTATAATACAAAAAAAAAACATCAATAATACCCGATGGAAGGGCAAACAAACCTTCCTGCGGCGCCTGGAAGTCGGAGAGTGCTGTTTGTCCCTATTCTCGAATTTTTTGGTCCGGGAATTTCTGTGCATGGTGGACATGCGCTGCACCCAAATGTTAGTTAGTTGCATATGAACTTTGAACTTTTGAGCTGGAAAGTGGAAGTCGGATTTGCATTTCTCAGCGCTGCAGGTGCCTTAAAAAGAGAGACACTCAATCTCTTTCTATTTACTCTCTCACCGCCCCCGCTGCATTTTACATTGCGCAATGAGCGAGGCGAATCGATAACTGCAAGGTTTCCATGCCACTCGTATTTCTAGCAGCTCTACTTTTTCGCGTGTACAGATTTTATTTCGCCAGTTTTTTCTTTTCTTTTTTTTTTTTTAGGGGAGGTAGTCCGCCGAATTTGCTTCGATTCAAGATGGGAACATGTGTTTTTATGGTTCCGCCATTGTCATGGTGAGATGCACTTTGCCTTTTTTCTCCTTCATTTTTATTGCTTTTTCCTGTCGTAGCCTCTCTCTACCGCACGCACGCGGCTGTGCGAGAGTGTGGGTTGCTGTGCGCGGTGGAGGAGTAAATGAGAGTGTGTAAAGTGTAGCCGTGGCAGAGTTGTAGCTCGCTAGTGGTCCGTTTGGTTTCTGATTTTCGGTTTCCTCGATTTCGTTATGTACTGCAATAGTCGGCTAAGCGCTCTGCCGACGTCGCTTTCCGCTGTATACCTTTGGTGACTGTATGGGAACGTTGCTCTCGCGACCAGTGGTGCCACATTAGCCATTTACATTGATAGAACTGGCAATTTTCGAAAAGAAAAAAAATTAAATTTTTAAACGCTATTAGCAACAAATTTATAAAAAATAACACCATAGAAAGAATTAAAATTTCCAAAGATGTCCCAACTTTCAACGCAATGGCTCGATTACATGAACAAGTTGTAAATGTTTGCACATTCTTTTGCTGTTTTTTGTAATTATGTTAGGATGTATTCGGGCAGCACTACTTGCGACCGCTCTCTTTTAACGGAAACAGGGTGTCTTGCTTCTTTGGTGTGATCGCCTTGCCTGACACATGATGTGTATTAACGGATTACCCTGTTTTCCCCAGCAACTTGTTTTTTCTCTCCCAACCAACGCTGTTGTCTTTGCACTTACGTAAGCATCCCGTTGTCCGCTTCTTATCGAAATTCTAAGCGGCATTTGCCGCGATTTTCATGCGGCGCGCAATGCCGTGCAAAAATGATTGTTGCCAGTTATTTCGCACTATCAAACATCTTTTATGTTCCATATATTTAAAAGCGGCTAATCCAATGTTTTTAGGACCCACGTCCAACGTTTTCGGTTGTTGCTTCGCTGGGTTGCCACCCTGTCTCGACATACAAATTAGTTCCAAAGCAACACTGCGCGCGCGCTCTCTCCCGCTCAGTGCTGCCAGAAACTCCAGAGGATAAATATCCAGACTTGAGTTAAACAAAATGCCAAATTTTAAAATTAAAATTTTAAACAAATACGTAAATAATATTAATATGTACATATATAAAAAAAAACTTCAATAGAAATGAAAAAAGATTTTTATATCTAAAACATTTACCAGAAAAACGTGTATTAATAACTTTTCGGATCGGTTTTTAAAATAGTTTTCATTTAAACCAAATTACTTTACTATATAAAGAAAAACGGCAAAAAGATAAAAACAAAATGTTAAATGGCTAAATATGTGGCTAAAAGCATTTTCTAGTTGCCAGATCTATATCAACTTAAATGCTCAAGTGGTAGCACTGCTCACGCTCTCACGTTCTCTCCGAGAGCGCACAAGGTCTCCCGCCCTCTCTTTGCTGACTCCGACCGACCGTCGTTGTTTCGCCGTTAATCGAAAATGTTTGCGGCGACGTTAGGATGTACGAAAACGTTTTCTCGCCAAAACTGTGTGAATAGCAGTAGAAATCTGCCGATTAAAATGTCTTAAATCGTCTACGTATAGTACATAAAAGAACCAAACGTGAAAGTGATCGAATTAAAACTAAGCGCTCGACTTGGAAGCGTAATTCATAAAAAAGTAAAAAAATATATATATATATATATATATTTCGGTGTGCCAGTGAGTGCGGAAATAGTAGTTGCAAGTGCAAAATACTGCGTAAAACGTGAAAGTTTCCAATAACACCGAACCAACGGCCGTTTTGTAGTAAATATACATACGCGCCTAGTACATATATACATACATTCGAATATACACACAGCCGAATATCCACCGACGAAGCTAACTGCTTATTGCTTTTTGCTGATGTAAGTGTAAGTGGGCGGATGGGGCGTGGAAAGTGCAGGCAAATATCCTTCAAGTGCACTTGGTGCTCGGACTCAAAAAATTTCGTGTTTTTGCCACTAAAAACTTGTGAAAAATACAACATTTTTAGGTTAGGTCAATTTCAATTGGTTTATATACACGCATACAATGGTAAAGCGAATACATATAGAAGGCGCACAGACAAAAAGTCGTCGACGGCGACGTGGTTGTTGTTTGTGTTGTTCCTGCTCTCCTCACTCACACAAAAGAGGGTGGAGAGAAGAGCCATACACACACAGGCGCGCTTTGAACCATTGCTTTTGGCTTGCTTATGAACTGACTGTATTTTTTCAACGTAGTGTCGTTTTATTTTCGTTCGTTGATTCGTTGTTCTTTGCTCAGTTCGTGCGCTTATCTCGACTTTTGCTTTGATGCGCCATTCGCATGTACTTGCGAGAGCCCAGTGGAGTGCGTTGGTGTGAGTGTGCATTTAAATGGCTCCCCAATGAGAGCATCATTTTGTGGGCCTCTTTTTGGTCCCATCTTTCTTATTCTCATCTCGTCTTGCTCCCCATCCGTCGTTTGTTGTTTTTGCTCTGCCATTTTTTTTCATTCGGTTTTGAATTTACACAAAACGTTTGCCGTGCTTCTTCATGCTAATATATATATGTATTGTACATATTTCTCTACACATCCATATGTTTTTTTTTTTTGCAAAATTTATTAATAGCGCAGCGCCAGACTTTGATTGTGTGTGAGTTTGCCAGAGTGGGAAAGTAACACCAAAAACCAAATATTAATTCGCGACGATTGGTGTTGCAATTGCTCAAAAGGCCAAAGAAAAAAAAGTGCTAGTGTGTAACAAATTTTGCATATTTATCCGTTGCCTGCCTTTTGTGCTGCGTATTCTGTGCTGTGTATACACATAACAAAACAGATAAGATAACATTATACGTGTGCACGTAATAGAGCAAGCTGAACAAAAAAAAATGGAGGGAAAATTTGCCCACATGTCTCCCCAAAGCACTCGCACACACACACAATCACACAACGCCCCAATTTGGAGCCTCTCTCGTTAAACACACACACAAAGAAATGTGTTTGGTATGCACTAATGGCGGACCCAAAAAATACAATAACAACAAAGACAGTTGAGAGAGTGCAAAGAGCGAACTTGTTTTACTTATTTTTTGTGTCTTTTTTTAAGGATAGTTGGTGGTGGCAGAAAGAGCGGGAGAGCAGTTATTGTAGAGCTTTTGTGCGGCTGTACTGTGCTCCAATATTTGTTTACAAATGATAAAAGGGGGCAGCTGTTGGCTTGATGGGGTGTTTTCTATAAGTTGGAGCAGGATGATCCTCTAGGCGGTTTCCATTCACCTTATTCTTACTCATTTCGCTCTCTATAGCCTGCGCAGCCTTGCGCTCTCTCAATTGCCCGCCAAATGCTTGATGCGTATGTGTGTGTGTGTGTGTGTATGTTTGGCCCCAAACGGGTGAAATACCTTTTGAAAAAAATCGGCCATATCATACTGCGCCTCAACAACAAATACGGCCCTCTTTAGTTACTCTCTCGTTGGCTCTCTCTTTGCTGCTGCACCACCACCACCACCGTAGCACACCACCACCACCTTTGCATTGTTGCGTTTGCTGCTGCTGCTTCTTATTATTCTTCTTGTAAGTTGTAGATACAGAATATGTACCAGCAGTACTCCCCCCTACCCCCTTCCCTGGGCTCCTTAGCAGTATCGGTATATAAATATGCTCCGTGTGTGTGCCTGAATTCTATGCAAGCCGATGTCGTGCATGGGGCATTTGGCACCTTCTACATTTATATTATATACTCTCACAAACATCCAAAGGTGTATACAGAAAGCTCGCTTAGGACGTATTTACTGTACCGCCAAAAGCAATAACAAAGCGCGCGCCCAATTCCGGTTGCACGTACACGCACACCAAAGTAATTTCCTCCTCTTTTCCTTTTAACTTGCACTCTTCACCAAGATTTACCTTCCACTCCGATCTCCTTTCCGTCTATATCTGTTAGTGTTGTTGTTGCTCAGAGTTCCACTGTTCCATTCCACATCCCCATTCTCTTCACCTCTCTTTCTCCTTAGAATACAATACCCGATACAAAGACATCGTTTTCCACTCTATAGTTTTTGTGATATGGCTAAAAGTATTTTGCCCCGTGTTTTATTTTACCTTTTCGTTGGAATGTGCCATCTTTTTGGGGATATATATGTATATGTAGTTATAGCCCGAATTGATCAATCAGAAGTGCTGTATTAGCAAAAGTATTTTTGGTAAAAGTGAAAATTTGTTTAGGTGTTAGTTTAGTATGGTGTTAGAACAAGTAATTGTGTATCTGTATTGTTCATAAATAATAAGAATCTCTTAAATGAGTTTAAAACTATCATTAAAGTATCGCTGAATAATAGAAAATTCCTAAATTCATCAACTAAATTGGGTCTTTTATTTATCATTGATAGGAGTTATTTGCTTTAAACGCTTTAGTTTTGCAAAAAAAAAAAATAAACTTATGCATTTGAGAAGTTGGTTCCTTTTGTTCATTTTACTTACTCAGTTAAATTAACATTTTGTTTCTCTCACTTACAGTGACATCAAAAAAGAAGTCCAAGAGTAACGTGGCAGAGGCGAAACACCGGCGCAGCGTCACTAGCAGATAACAAGCAGTCGGTCCAAATTTTATATCCAAGAAAGCGAGCGCATTTGACGCTTGCGGGGTGACCAAATGCATAGACAACATATGTCGCACCCACGAGCAGTCCAAGACCAAGAGTTGCGTCCCCGACCGTTTGTTGTATATTACATACGCTCATAGAGGGCGGCCACCCCACCAAAGCAGACAGAGAGTCCTTGCACTTGGGCAGGGATCCAGAGAGCCTCAGAGTGCTCAGCAAGCCGGACCAGCAGCGGCACAGCATTAAAGGTTGCGCCAAGAAAAGAGCAACAAAGAAGATGATGAAACGCACCCGTGTCGACGAGGTGCAGTTCGGGACACGACCCGGTCCTCCGACATCTGGTGGCGTGGGCGTTGGAGTCGTGGGCGTGGCAGGAGGAGGCCCAGCGTCAGGCAGCGGTGGCACCGCTACCGTTGGCGTCAACACAGCCGGCGTGACCATAGGAACTGTGGTGCCAGGTGGTGCTCACAACGCCACCATCAGTGGCATCGGTTCCATTCACCATCGCATCCTTACCCCACAGCATGGAGGAGCCCAAACCATTGCGTATTTGCCGTCCACCACGCCGTCGGCAACGAATTTGAAGACCACAAGCTCGATTGTGGACAGTACTAGCGCTGGAGGACCAGTGGGATCAGGTGCCCAGGTGGCCGTTGGAGGAGTAGGCGCCGCAGCTGGTGGCGGAGGCGTGGCCGTTTCCACCGGCAGCACGGGCACCCAGACATTACAGTATACAACATGTAAGTGTATGAATTGCTCTCTTCGATGTAATTATTCTGACATTTAATTTGTAATTTAATACGCAGCTTATAGCGTGGCTTCCATTCAGGCGGGTGGAACTCTCAAAGCCAACACAGCCGATGTGGCCAACACGGTACAGATTCACGTGACAGGTGGAGCAGGAGCAAACAATCCTGCCAGTGCACAGACTGTTTCGAGCAGCTCACAAACGGGCACACTTCGTCAGCGCACAATCAGCGGCACCCAGACGGTGGCCACTGCTGTCGGAAACTTGGCCTCGATGTCCCAACAACAACCAGTTCAGCAGCCACCATTGGCTGCCGCTCAAACGCCGCCATCATCCGTGGTGGCAAACAGCATCCCAGTGGGTGGGACCACGCCGCCGCAGGGACAATCGGGTAATGCCACGCCACGCTTGAAAGTGGAAGACGCTTTGAGCTACCTGGACCAGGTGAAGTACCAGTATGCCGACCAGCCGCAGATCTACAACAACTTCCTGGACATTATGAAGGAGTTCAAGTCGCACTGCATCGACACACCCGGAGTGATTGAGCGCGTATCGACGCTCTTCAAAGGACACACGGAGCTTATTTATGGCTTCAACATGTTCCTGCCGCCGGGCTACAAGATCGAGATTCACTCGGATGCGCTTGGCTGCTCGGTGCCTGTTGTCTCGATGCCTTCGCCCCCGGGAGCACCGTCGAGCACGGGAACGGTGCACATGCTCACCGGAAGCAGTCCCTTGTCAGCCGGTCATATCGCCATCAAGACGACCAATGCGGCAACCCTGACATCGGCAACAGGAGCAGTAGCTGCAGCTGCAGCAGCCGTGGCTCAGATCCAATCGGCAGGAGCCGTGAACCTAATGACCCACGGCGGAGCATCCCTTACCCAGACCACGATCCATGCCCTGCAACAGCAGGCGACGCCACCGCAGTCGCAATCTCCGGGCGGTGGTCATGTCCATGTGAGTGTGACTAGCTCTCCGGCGTCAAGTGCCGTGGTGACCGGCCAACAGCCACCGGGCATCTCCGTGTCGGCGCATAACGTGCCGCGAGACTACTCGAGAGATCGAGAAAGAGCCACCATAACCCCCACGGGCCAAGTGGCAGGTGGCGCGGCCAACGCGAATGCCGCCGCCAGTATTGTGGTCGGCGGACCTCCGACGCCGAATTCTTTGAGTGAGTTGAGTCCCCACGGAGGAGCAGGAAGTGGTCCGGGAGCGGGAGCGGCCCAGCACAATCTGCATCACATCCAGCAGGCGCACCAATCGATTCTCCTAGGGGAAACGGGCCAGCAGAACCAGCCGGTGGAGTTCAATCACGCCATAACCTATGTAAATAAGATCAAGGTAACGTTGTCTCAATATTTTCAAACTAAGGATCCTACTTATAATATTGTTTATCCCAATTTTCGAACAGAACCGTTTCCAAAATCAGCCGGCCAAGTACAAGAAATTCCTGGAAATTCTGCATGCCTATCAAAGGGAGCAGAAGGCCATGAAGGAGGGCAGCCTGATCCAGGGTAAAATGCTCACCGAGCAGGAGGTGTACACGCAGGTGGCGAAGCTCTTTGGCCAGGACGAGGATTTGCTGCGGGAGTTTGGCCAATTTCTGCCCGATGCCACCAACCATCAGTCGGGGCAGTACATGTCCAAGTCGGCATCTGTGCACAACGATCATGGCAAGCGGCCCACGGCCACTTTGAGCGGTGGAGCCCACATCACCATGTCCTCGGCATCCCCAGCACCGGGAGGTTCCCCCCTGCATCTGGGTGGCGGCGCAGCGACAATCCCGCAGATCGACAACAGTGCCCATGCAGCGGCCATCGGAAATCTGTCGGCGGTGAACACTAGTGTCAGCATCAAGACGTACAACAATAACCAGCAACAGCAGAATCATGTGATTGGTTCCGGCTTGAATTCGACGACTCGAAACGATGTCCTCTTTGAGAAAGACTTTCACCCGAGTCTGCAGCAGCAAGCGCACCAGCGAGGAGCCGGAGTGGGTGGCCATCACCACCTGGCCGGAACTCCAGCGGGTGCCAATATCGGGCGGCCCGGTGTTGGAGCCAGTGTAATGGTCGCCTTCGATAAGGAGCACCGCAACAATCATCACGTGCAGAAGTACGTGGGACACGCGCCGAATGCAAACCTTTCGCATGGCCACAATGCCAAGAAGTCGCCCAGTTATGGCCTCACCTCGGTGATTGGTTCCATGCCGCACATGTCGGAGAACTCTCTCGATCGCAGCTCGCCGGGAATCAATTATCCCACGCCGCCGCTGCCCTCCGGTCATCATGGACAGCACAATTCCGGCTCAGCTTCGAGGCGTCCGGGCGACGACAGTTTGGCCGGGCACTATGCCAGTGGAGCACCACCCGCTAAGCGACCGAAGCCTTATTGTCGGGATGTGAGCTTTTCGGAGGCCTCGAGCAAGTGCACCATCTCGGACGCCGCCTTCTTCGACAAAGTGCGCAAGGCGCTGAGAAGTCCAGAGGTCTACGACAATTTCCTTCGATGCCTGACTCTGTTCAACCAGGAGATCGTCTCCAAAACGGAGCTCCTGGGTCTGGTATCTCCGTTCCTGATGAAGTTTCCCGATCTGCTCCGATGGTTCACCGACTTTCTGGGCCCGCCGTCCGGTCAAGCGGCTGGCGGTTTGATCGATGGCATGCCGTTGGCTGCCACGCAACGGCAGGGAGGCGGTAGCAGCAATAGTTCCCATGATCGGGGCAGCAGCCACCAGAGCGCCGCGGAGTATGTCCAGGATGTGGATTTGTCATCGTGCAAGCGACTGGGTGCCTCGTACTGTGCGCTGCCCCAGTCCACGGTGCCCAAGAAGTGCAGCGGACGGACAGCTCTCTGCCGGGAGGTGCTCAACGACAAGTGGGTCTCCTTCCCCACGTGGGCCAGTGAGGATTCCACTTTCGTGACATCGAGGAAAACCCAGTTCGAGGAGACAATCTACAGGTGAGATAATTTCCTCTCAACACCCAAATACCACATCACCACTCTAAAAAATTTAACAGTCAATTCGAGACTACTTCATTGGTACTTTTGTTTCCTTTCTGTTACTTTGTGAGATCTATAGCTGCGGTTAACATTGTTCAGTTGGTATTATAGTGAAAGAAACAAAATTATTGTGTCTTAACCGCATCTGTACATGTTCTCAACTTGCACCTCTTTCGTTTGTTATGGATCTCCTTTTTCTTTGGCTTTCGTTTATTTCAATTAACCAATGCGCACGCTCTAAACAAAAGGAATATTCACAGAACGGAGGACGAGCGCTTCGAGCTGGACCTGGTCATCGAGGTGAACAGTGCCACGATCCGTGTGCTCGAGAATGTCCAGAAGAAGATGTCGCGCATGTCCACCGAGGAGTTGGCCAAGTTTCACCTGGACGATCACCTGGGTGGCACATCGCAAACGATACACCAGCGGGCCATCCATCGCATCTATGGCGACAAGTCCGGGGAGATTATTCAGGGCATGAAGAAGAACCCATCGGTGGCAGTGCCCATCGTACTAAAGCGACTGAAAGTCAAGGAGGAGGAGTGGCGAGAAGCGCAAAAGGTAAGTCTGCTTGTGCATTGATTTCCGTATATGTAAACTGAACCTTTACTTCTTTTTTTCGTAGACCTTCAACAAGCAATGGCGGGAGCAGAACGAAAAGTATTACCTTAAGTCTCTCGATCACCAAGCCATCAACTTCAAGCCTAACGACATGAAGGCCTTGCGTTCGAAGAGTCTGTTCAACGAGATCGAGACGCTGTACGATGAGCGGCACGACCAGGACGACGACGCAATGGAACCGTTTGGGCCGCATCTCGTGCTGCCGTACAAGGACAAGACCATTCTGGACGATGCCGCCAACCTGCTGATCCACCACGTGAAACGCCAGACTGGCATCCAGAAGCAGGAGAAGCAGAAGATCAAGCAGATCATCCGTCAATTTGTGCCTGACCTCTTCTTTGCGCCGCGGCAGCCCTTGAGCGACGATGAGCGAGAGGACGGTGAGTTTCCTACTTGAATTTTGCACCTCAAATCATCTGCTTCACAACAAACTAACCTTTAATTATATTCACCATTTGTTTTGTCCTAACACAACTCATATTAGTGTAGTATAATTATTAAACACTCATCCGAGGAGAGGTTTATCTCGGTTACTTATACTCACTTATATTTTAATTATATTCAAAAGAAGTATAGCTCGAAGAATTTGAAGCAATATTAGTCATGTTAAAAAACCCACAGTAAAGTAATTAATTTTCATGACTAATTATTTTTCGAATTTAAAAGCGTATTTCTTTTTATTGTTGCTTGATTGTAATTTTTAACATAGAGAATGTTTTTCGTTTCTTTTTCTTTTTTCTCCTTATTTTTTTTTGCAAATAATTAAAACCAAAACCCAAATAAATCATAAAACAAATTTATGTAACGTAACACACACGCAATTAAATAATATCAAACAAAAACTGGACTGCAATGCACCACGAAAAAAACCAACTCACTGACCCTCTGAACCACATCGAATATCCGAACCTATGTGTTGTGCACGCCGTTTCTCTATATAGCCTTTCCATTTTTGGTAGATGACAATACGAAAATGGACGTTGACTCGCCTCTTGGTCGAACGGAGTCCACGTCGGCCAGAAATGCCAAGAGTACGCCTAGCGAAGGTGCCTCACCGGCGCGCAGCAATGCAAGCAGCAGCAGCGGAACACCGGCCGGTATTAAGAAAGAGACTGACGACCCAAAGGCTGGCAGTGGACCTGCTGCAGCGGCGTCCGCAACAACGTCATCTTCGGCGGACGATGCGACACCATCAACATCCTCGGCAGCGGCGGCAGCAGCAGCAGCGTCATCATCCTCTGCATCCGGTTCAGAATCGAAAGCGAAAGATGAGCCGAATTCCGCGCACCGAGATGAAGGAGCAGGCATCAGCACCGCCGGAGCTGTCTCCAGCCCCAGGCACACTCAAGACTCGGGAGCACCAGGCGGCGATGTGGAAATCAAGGTGGAGCATCCGGCGGAGTTTGCTAACCCCAAGCTATTGCCTCCCCACGCACACGGACAGCATGAAGTGAGTTTGCTTGACCTTTTCATTGAAATAGTTATTAAACCATTGCTTTTTTATCAGGACGAATCCTATTCGCTTTTCTTCGCCAACAACAACTGGTATTTGTTTCTGCGACTACATGCGATCCTGTGCGATCGCCTCCACGTCATGTACGAGCGGGCGCGACTGCTGGCCATTGAGGAGGAGCGGTGTCGGGCCAACCGGAGGGAGAGCACCGCCACAGCGCTCAGGCTGAAGCCCAAGCCAGAGATTCAAGTTGAGGACTACTATCCGACCTTTCTCGACATGCTCAAGAATGTCCTGGACGGGAACATGGACTCGAATACGTTCGAGGATACGATGCGGGAAATGTTTGGCATCTACGCTTACATCTCTTTCACGCTGGATAAGGTAAGTTTAATTAAATTAATTAAGTAAGAAACTAGATTTGTTGGTGCATATTGTAATGCTCAAGTTTAAGGATCAATCTAAGTATATTACAAAACTAATCGCTGTTTTAAATTTCAGGTTGTCTCGAATGCCGTTCGTCAGCTGCAATATTGTGTAACAGAGCGGGCCGCTCTGGATTGCGTGGAGTTGTTTGCCACCGAGCAGAGGCGCGGCTGCACCGGCGGACTCTGTCGAGATGCGCACAAGACCTTCGAGCGGGAGATGTCCTATCAGCGGAAGGCGGAGAGCATTCTCAACGACGAGAACTGCTTCAAGGTGTACATTGTAAGTTATTTTCAAGTAACATCTCAAGGAACGTGAGCTAACCAGAGTTCTGTTTGCAGTACAAGATCGATTGCCGAGTAACCATCGAGCTGCTCGACTCGGAGCCCGAGGAATTGGACAAGCCGGCTGCGCTGAAGGCCCAGAAGTTCAGCAAGTATGTGGAACGACTGGCGAATCCGGGTCTTGGCAGCGGCGGCGGCGGGAACGGTGCTGGCTCGAGTTCGGCGCTGGCCAACGACAACATTGTGGAGGCGTCCGATATCAAGACGGAGGAGGAGGAAGATACTGCCGAGGTGAGTGTGGCTGGCTAGGCAGCGATGAGATGCTCCGCAGCCGGAGCAGCTTTGTGTGGTGTGTGCTTGAAGAGTGGTTAACCATGTTGTTTGTGTATTTCGTTGTTCTTTTTCGATTGTTTACGTTTTTTGGTTCCCTGTTCTTCGACTCCTGAGTTGTGTTTTCGGTACTTCCACCACTGTACATACATACAAACCTGCCACCTACCTGGTTTAGACGATGGACAGACTGCATTCTGTATATATTATATATATATGAAAATATCTCTCAGTTTTCGGTTATCTATTTGTTGTTACCTATCGACTTTCGCCGCTGCACTTTCTATTATTTATCCCCCACCCCTTCTCATTTGGCCAGCTGTAAATTTATTTCTATTACTGTTTCCTTTCGTTTTGGTATCATTTATCAACATGCCGCCAACTTATTAATCGCCCACATTTCGTATGCATACAAATGTACAGAAGTACGCTCCTTGCATACGAGCAAAGAAAAAAATAAAAAAAAAAAAAAAATACATCAAAAGAACAAGAAAATATTCACTAATTAATGCTTTTTTGCATTCTTTTCTCTCATTTTTTCCGATTTATTTTTTCGTACCAGGTCAATTCCAAGGCTTGAAATAACATAGTTTTGATAATTTCATTGAATAAGAAGAAGAAAAAGTCATATTGCAAAATGAAATAGTAATAAATGAATTTGTTTTTTGATTACCGAAAACCAAAATATGATAAATTGAAACACCAACCGAACCCTTTCTTCTCACCCACCACCGCTACCACACTCGACACCCGCCACCACCACCACCACCAACACCACCACCACCCACCTACACACATTAAATGTAATGAATTGCCCAGAAATACCAAAAACTGCAATAACCGTCGAGGAAACCAAAACCCAGAACACACACCTCGATTAAATATAGAGCCGCCCCCCACCCACAAAAACATGCATAAAGTCAGACATTATGTAAAATAGTAGATCATGATATAGCAATAACGTAGGCACGCGCTTGTTGCATTCCCCTCTGATTTCGTTATGCATTCTCAGTTATCCACGAGTTGACTATATAACAACTATAGCGATAGACAGTCTGATATTTCGGGTGATCGATCGAAGTTCCCGCACCGAAGATGATGATATGATGTTAAATCAGATGGTAAAAGGATGGTGTTGTGGATGGTTGGGGTGTGGTGTGTGTGAGTGGTGCTGACGATCTGATAATCGTGATTACCCGTAGGCCTAAATTACACCGTCAAAAATGTATATACTATATTAATTGTCATGTTTTAACTGTACATAACGTAAAGCTAATGGTAATCGGTCAATGTATGTATTATTATGTGTAAAACGTTTAGTAGCTAATTTTGTAAAGGATGCAGCCAATGTCTTTTTAAATTCGGTAAACATTTTTATATCTAGGCCTAAGAACACACCCACACACACACACACACTCCACACACTCAATAATTGTAAATTAAATAGCACACACAATCACAACTGTGGACATTACCGGAGAGTAAAATTGAGAAATATATCTGGAGCAGCCCATTAAAGAGTCATATTCGAAGTCGAAGTTACTGAATCTGAATCTGAAACAGAGGGATGGTGGGCATGATGGGGTCGGGGACTGTGGTTTATGTTTCCGGGGTTAGAGCAGCAAGTACGCACTCAGTAATTGCCACACAGACTTAAGTTTTAGCAAGGTAAGTCGTCATCGCATTGTAGAACTCTTCGTTTCACTTAGTTTAAGTCTAAGGTTTTGTTTGTTGTCCAAATATATGGTACTGGTAAATGTGATTATGTGATTGGTTTCGTAACGTTCCGTTCCATTCAGTTTGGTTCTGTTTAAACCCTGTTTATCCCAAAAGTGCGTGCGAGTCTTTGCCCTCAGCTTTGTGTTCTTTGGCCTGGTACCTCCACATCATCTTGGGTTCTCTTTCTCTATGTTTTGCTACAACTCCCGTACTATCTAAAAATATCTAACTGTTTTGTAAATGTTACAATACACAACCCACACATCTCAACATTCCCAGCTTTAAAAGTAATCTCGTAAATTCTGTGAGCATGTTGAATTGCCGCCACGTTTCAATTGCTGCGTTGGCTGCAGTGCCACCGGCAATTGTTCCAATTATGTACAATAAAGACTGACTTTTGCATTGTTCTCATTGCAGTTGCGCCACAGAGGAGGTGGAATCGGCGGTGGAGGAGCTCGCAAGGCGCGCTTCTTGCTGCGCAACAAGCGCCGGTCGCAGCTGCACGAGGAGCAAGTGCGTCAGTTGTTCGAGCAGAAGCAGAATCAGAATCAGAATCGCAGCGAGCAACAGGCGACTGCAGCAGGGGTGGCCGTGGAATCCGTCACCGGCGACAATATCATCTCGAGCAGCAGTGCCTCTGGAGTCGGCGGCGGCGGTAACAATAATAATAACAACAACAGCTGGGGCGGCAAACGTCTGCCGGAGCGTCTGGGAGCACCGCAGGTGGGCCTGGCCGAGCAGTACGCCTTCAACGATCGCGACGAGATCACCACAAACGCCAGCAACGGGCGATGCTTTGTGTACAGCAAGAATCTCAAGCTACTCAAGTACGATGCAGTGCGTCGTGCCAAGAAGGTAAGTGTTTGCATTTGAACAAGCATAGAAGGAAATCTTTTATTGCTTTCCATTAAGTGTAATAGCTAGCTTAATTTATTTAATAACCCTTTCCTTTTATTACAGAGTCATTGCCGCGTCACTCGAGCTAAATACGCTCGCTTCCAGAACTACGTTAACAAGTGGCTGCAGCAGCAGGTCAGCGAGCAACTGCAGCAGAACTGCATCGACTGGCTGCTGGGCAAGACGCCGGACCAGATCAACGCAAGCGGCTGGGGTTCCGCCAGCAAGACAAAGACGATACAGCAAAAGGACACGTCGAAGACGCCTTATCGTATCTACAACAGGTACAAGGTGGTGCAGAGCGCAGTCAGCGGGTTGATAAGTGGCTCTGCCTCGACGCCAGACGGAGCCGTTCCGGCGGTTAATTCCGTCCCGTCAGGCTCCTCAGCATCTGCGGTGGGCAACGCACTGGCCTCGACGACCGTGTCTTCGACCTCCCACGCGATGTGCAACAGCAGCATTTTGTCCGCGGACTCGACTACCAACGCCAATGCAACACCACAGCAGCAACATTGCAATAGCGCAGCAGCTGCAGCATCGGCCACCACAAACGCGGAGGCACTGCAGCAGGTGCGACCAATGGAGAGCTAACCGGCAAGGACGGCAGCAACAACATCAGGAGCAGCAGTCGCTGCTTGGCCGGACTCGCTTACATGACGATAAAGAGAATAACTAAAGAGGATTAGCCTGTATTCGATGGCAAGTTTGGTTTTAAATGTGATACCAGTTCCTGGACGCGCGGTCATCGAGATTGCAGCTATACCGACCCAACAGCGACTGGTGCAAGTTCGGCATGGCGATTGGGTGGGCACTGGATGTTTTAACGAAAGGAAGGAAAACTCTTTTTCATTTTGTACAAAAAGTCATTTAATCTTAGGCGATTTGCTCCTAATTAAGAATTTTATAGGCTTACATTGCATTAGTTTTACTCTGACAGCGTATTGTTTTACTGATGCGCTTTTAGTTTTTAGGGTTTAAAGTCGATAGCAAACCACACACACACACACAAACACACCTTAAACACAATCGCAAGCCCACATGAGATGAGTCACGTTTCTTTTTAAAGTTTTGTGCACTGCAAACCGATCGAGACAGTTGTGTTAGTTTTTAGGATTCGGAACACGTCTGTTTAGCGTTTTAACATTTTATAAAAGAAACCAAGCCCTTATATTTTTACATAAATGTAACGTATTTTTTATACAAATCAAACAGAAACCCATACACAAACCTTGTACAATTCCTTGTGAATACTATTGATTATAATTTACGCGTTTAAGGTCATTAAAATAAGTTGTAAAAACGTAATGAACAGATTAAAACAAAAGTTTATCAAAAGTGAATCGGATTTTCGTTATTAATGATATAAGTGCTGATTACAAAGCAATATAAAATATTTATTATCTTTTAATTTACAGACAAAGGCCATTCGACTGACACTCACAAAATTGCATTTAATGCACACTATAAAAGTTATTTGTAAATAAAATCCCTCCTCGTTATAATGCCAGCAATGCGATTCTCATTGTTAATCACTAACAAGTGACGCAGACCCAAAGCCCGAAAAATCTGAAAAATTCTGGGAACCGAATCGTGCTGGAAAAATATGAAGATTAGTTTTTTTAATGTTTAGTTAAAAAACCCAGAATGACTCACCGGATTAACTCGCACGGGTGAAGGATTCATAAACATGGACAAATCCACAGTGTAGTTTATTTTATCATCTAGCTTGCGAACGCTCTAAATTAAAAAATATATGAATAAGATTTAAATGGAACCATAAACTGCTAATTACCTTGATTGAAGGATAACGCGGATAGACGTCTCTGAAAGTCTGAATAGATGTCTCTGGGAGCCAGAATCGTTTGTTCTCCACGTACAATGATTTCAGCAAGATAACAATCAGCTGCGATCGCAAGATAATGCCACACACACGCCCCTCAGAACGACGATTCTGAAGATTAAAATGAATATTTGTTAAACAGCTGTGTTAATAAGTGTTAAATTTTAGTCATCTTACCCCCTGCACGTCATCAACCACGGGAAATCCATTGTGATCGCACTTTTTCAGCATTTGATATATGTAATGAGCGCTATCACGAAGTTTGATGCAGACCACTGGACTGCTCAGTATTTCCTTAGCTGTGAGGCCCTTGTATTGCGGTAGGGGTTCCCATGTCAACATGGGTACATGATTAACCTGTATCTGTGTATCGTAGATGCCCTCGTTAAAGTAATCACCGACCCATTTGGCGCTGATTAGTGCAATGATTAAGGGGAAAAAGAATGAGCTCTCCACGCCAGTGGTTTCCATTAAAATGACAGACAGACTAATGGTCATCCGCAGAACTCCGCCCAAATTGGCGGCTGCTCCAATTAGAGCATACTTTCCAGGATGTAGGAATTCCTATAATCCAACAGAAACTGTTAAATCTTACGCTGATAATATTAGTAACTGACTTACCGCCTCTGGAAACATGTAGAAGGTAATCATGGCCAACAGACGACCCCAAGCAGCGCCCACCAGAGCAGTTGGAATGAACACGCCCAAAGAGACATTGAGTCCAAAGGTGGCGCAGGATAGCACATAGTAGACGACTGTGAACAGGGCTAGCGTAAGGATTTTATGCGAACCTATAAGTAAACAAAATGAACATTTTGAAATATTAAAAAACATATAACTATTAAGTCTTACCTGGAGGATCGTGGAATAGAGATCGGACTGTAGCCTCTGGCGTTTGGAACCACAGAGCAGCCACGGCATTGTATTCGTTGTCCTCGCAAAAAAGTTGTACAGGATTATTAGTGGGATCGTTGCCCAACGGACGACAATCGTTAATAAAGTAGATCATCAGACAAGCCAGAGTTACGCCCATCATGGCAACCACAACCGCCTCGATCACTTTGCCAATCTTCCAGGGAATGAAGCGCTTTCGGAAATTATTGATTTTTGTGTTAAGCGAGTTCCAGGCAGCTCCCAGTAATCCGCCAGTTACACCGAGGAACATAAATATGGGCAGCTCAAAGTAGTCGAATTTCAACGGCTGATCGAACTTGCCCAAATTGAAAAGGCCCGTGAATGTGAAGTCGTTTAGGCCGTGATAAGCGGATAACACAATGTTCAGGGTAAACACACTGATAATGGAGGCCACCAGAGTGCGCCAAATGAGATTCTGGTTCCAGAAGCTAGCCGCTTCTTCCAAAGAGAACAGCATTCCTCCAATGGGTGCTCCAAAAGCGGCGGAAACTCCAGCTGCTCCGCCTCCCAGGACGAAATCCCGTTTCTCGTGGTCATCTCGGAATGCTTTGAACACCCGGAAGTCCTTAACGAAAGTGGTGCTCTTGCCCTGCGAGATTCCAGCCGCCACAACAGCGCCGGCGTGAATCATTGGACCTTCCTTGCCTCCGGCCAAGCCGCCAACCACTGAGGTTATCACTCCAATGGCCTTGACTGCCAACGTTTTAATTCGCACAATTCGCGGTATTTTCACGCCATTCAGATAGCTCTTCACCTGTGGAATCCCACTGCCGGCGGTTATGGGCTCAATATAGGTCACCATGGCGGCTCCAAACGCCACGGGCACAATGCTCAGGAGAAGCCAGTAAAGGTAGGGAATCACAAGATCTCCACTGCTACCATCACTGAGCGGAACGTTCTTTTGTACAGCTGAAAATAAAATATAGTTATTGTTAACCATTGAAGTTAATGTTAATAATGTTTAATACTAAACTAACAAGCATTTCTTCAATATCAATGTCTCTTTTAAAATGTATCTTACGTTTGAAGTTTGGCTAAATTAACTAGCTTACTATCGATTTACTTAAAAACTTTTAATGACTTAAATGAAGCTAAATCGACTTTTTAAGTAGAAATCAAAATCGACTTACAATCGTAGAGGAAGGAGTACTTCCGGGCCGACAACTCTTCGATGATGATGTCTATGGTGCACGCTATTAGTGCGGTAATAACGCCAATCTGTATAAAGATAATCCATCGTATGACGTCTTTGCGCAGGGAAAAGCGCTCTGTCAGCCGTTTTCGTTGTTCGTCTTGGAACAGTGTGTTTTCGCAAACTTCATAGTCCAAGCTCTACAAATGAAAAAAAAAAAAAAAACACTGATAACAATTCCGTTTTGCAACCCGCCCCCATGATTTTGTACAAACCTCGTAATTGGGAGTGGATGCTGCTGCAGTGCGGGATCTTAGATGGAAAATGGGCTCCGAGTCGTTGACATTTCCATTTATTTGCTGAAATCGAAAGTGCATAAAGTAATAAACTTAATAAAGCTGGCCGAAGATAAGCTCTGCTTGTAAAACCTATTGATGTGATGATTCATTAATACTTGTTTTAAATGGGTACTTACAGTATTAGGCGCAATTTCAGGAGCATTGTTTCCTAATAGCGGAGGCTGATCACTATCTATTAAATGGTTATTCCCCGAAATACTTTGTGCTGCTCCACCTGAAGAACTAGTTGACGGTTCTTCGTTTTGGTAATCGCCGAAATTTTGTACAGGCTTTGAGCTAGGCAGCGTTTTTGGTTGAGGAACGATCGCATCTTCCTCATCGCTTGATTCATCGTCTAGATTAATTAAAGTTCTTCTATCGTCCATTATTAAAAAAAATAATGAATACGATTTTAGCAACAAGCAACAAAACAGAGAGACTGCACAGTGTGACCGCTTGCTCGCATCTGAAAAATACAATAACTCGATTGCTCGCGATACGCATATTTTATGGAGGTTTTTTCAAACGACTAAGAAAACTAATATGTTAAACCACCTAATGATGTAATAGTTAAAATAAAATAAAAACCGCTTCTGCGTTAAGGTTCCGTACTCACAAATCGCAATGTGTATTTTAGGTTCTTTTTTTTTATTACATTTGAAATAAAAGGTGTTTATCTTTTAGGCCACTTATAAAGTGGTATTAAATTGTTGATACGGATTCAGACCTATGTACCCGCGGCACTAAATTTTGGTAAAGCTGAAATAATGGGTGAAAAGGACATCACTATATAGTGGGTTCAAATTGAAAGTTCGGATTGAGAAACTTAAACTTGGCCGCTTCCAGCATCATTCGATTGTGCTCAATTCGGTTTCGGCAATGCAATTCTTGGCTTATTTGGGTCATTGTGCGCTCCAGGCGCAGCAGGACATCCCGCTGCGGGTGCTCCAGGAAGTGGGTAAAGGACAACGATTGTGAGAGCGCCTGTGAGCGAGAGTACTCCATGGAGACGTCCTCCATTGAGGAGGCCAGCGAGCAGCTTGACTTGGTTTCGCCCTGCACCGATGGAGCTCGGCTCAGATCGATGACGCCCGGCGGATCAGACAGGGATGAGGGGCCACTAACTTGCTCAGGCTTTACCGGACGACCCAAAAGGGTGACACTAGCAGCAGTAATCTTCGAATCGGAAGGCAGCCTCTCTACCGAGTAATTTGAGAGCTGAAAATTATAAAATAAAAATTAATATTGTATTAAGACTTTACCAAAAACACATAATAGTCAACAATTAATGAATATTAAAAACAAGGATTACAAATCAACAAATCTAATAACTGCAAACAATGGTCTGGTAACCATATTTTTGTAGATGTTTATATTTTTAAACAACAGATCCGAATAGATAAATATTCTATTATATTGACAAAATATTTACTTTTGGGATTCATTTTGTTGTTTTTTTAAACAATTTCTTGAAGGATGTATGCAAAAAATTCATTGTATATTATTTGGAAATTAAAAATCAAATAGTTGTTTATTCTTTTTGACAGTATTCGAAATAGGAGCCTAAGTTTAAAATTAAAAAACACGTTTTCTCTTTCAAAGTACGACATTACCTATTTAAATACTTACATCCTGATTAACGTTGCCTGCACTATTTGGTGGATTAGCTTTTACGTTTTTATCTGAAGTAGAATCTCCGGACTGGAAAGAGATAAAAATATGCGATCGCCGCACCAATACTTTATTCATTAAGATGATTTGCCGCTCGAACAGATACTGTACATAAATACAGACGTAAGTGTCGTGTGCGGATCTAACGGTAAACAGCAAGGTGAGATCTTGACATCTCACTTTTGCACACATTTAGCATACCTTGCGAGTTGCTCCCTCCTGCTCTTGCATGTGGCGCTGGAACACCGTTTTGATTTTCAGCTCGTGGCTTCCATTTCCCGCAGATGTCGTAATCTCCGACAAAACTCCAGCCGTAGTCTGCGAATCCGTGTCGTTGTTCGGAATCGGGGTCTTCTTGCGGGGTTTTCCGAATCGCCTGTTCTTCATAATGCGATCACGGCGCTCCTCCAATGCGGCCACCTTCATTTCGTGCAGTTTCCCGAGCAAGGAACTATGACGTCTCTGTTCATGGAGTCATCAAGCATCAGAATATTTTCTACCCCGGACTAATGCAAAAAACCCGTACCTTAATGTGCATATGAAAATTCCCGGTGGAACGCACACTGCCACGATAAATCCGATCCGGCGGACAGTAGCAGCATTTAACCGTGACATTATCGCCCACCTGGTTCTCAATGCGATATAGTTCTCCGTTCAGGATATACGGCACATGCTGGCGCTTCTCCGGATCTGTTTTCAGTTCCATTTTTTCACTCGAATCCTCCAAGTCCACGGACATTTTTCAGCTTCAGAAATGAAAATGAACCTTCTAGCTTTCAAGAAAAGAAGGAAAAGGAAGAACGTCAAAGCAGAGGAAGAGATACAGATTCGGTTCTGGCAAGAAAAGGAATGAAAGAGACGACCGGTCAAAAAGCAACGGTTGGCGGCCTACCGAAGATAGACAAAACGATGTCAAAAGGGCCCCTACGCACTTTAAAAAAAAAGGCAATTCTGCTGAAGCTGCCTTGTGGTTACATAATTTTTAATGCACGCTTGCAACTCTTTTCCTTTAAATTTCAGATTTTCGCCAAATTTGTTTACTACTAAAATATTTTTTTAGCAAAAATTTAAACAAAATTAGCTTTTCCCGCCAGAAAACGAAGACACGGATAGAAAGCAAATAATCAGTCTGGCAGCACATTCAGACTCGCCAAAACCGGGTGGCATCTCTGCACAACCTAAAAAAACAAGTTGGCAGTAGAAATACGAGAACTTAAAAAAAACAAACAATTTCATTTGCTTCACGTGTTGCTTTTTAAAAACAAACCAAAAGTGCTTTTTGCCAATAAACTTTGGCCCTTTTATGCATCTATAAACGAACATCATCTAATCAAAAAGAAAGCAAGATGTCTGAGCCATCTCCAGACGCTAAACCAAATATATTAATAACTGGTGTGATTTTAATGTTTTTTTTTTTTTATTATTCATAGTTGTTTATACAAACGTAATGCATTTTTAGGAACTCCTGGAGCAGGCAAATCTTACCTGTGCGAACGTCTGGCCTCCCAACTGAAGTTCGAGTGGCTGGACTGCTCGAAAATTGCCAAGGAAAACAATTTTGTAGAGGAATACGACGACGAATACGACTGCCCCGTTCTGGATGAAGAAAAAGTATATTGCAAATATATCACATTTGTCAACATATTTACTAACTATACAAGATTCTTATTCAGCTGTTGGATCACCTGGAGCCCCTGATGGCCAAGGGCGGCAACATCGTGGAGTATCATGGCTGTGAGTTCTTTCCAGAGCGCTGGTTTCAAGCCGTCTTTGTGGTTACCTGCCCCAACACAACCCTTTACGATCGTCTAAAGGAACGCAATTATAACGAAAAGAAACTAACGTCCAATGTTCAGTGCGAAATCTTTGGAACCATTTTGGAAGAAGCCCGAGATTCCTACAAATCGGATATAGTATTTCAACTCAAGGGGGAAACGAAAGCTGATGCCCATATGAGTCTGAAAACTGTAAAAAACTGGTATCGTATGTGGAAAAGAAAATAAAAATCGGATTAGTTAGTTTGTTATAATCCTATGTATACAAATATCAACATTTGTTCGTAAATCAACTCTTTCTCTCAACAAACATCGTGTATAAAATCGAAATCCTAAATCTACAACCTAAACTCGCGTCATCTTAAAGCGAAGCGGTCCATCCGGCGCATACATGAAAGTGACTGCATAATCCAGTGGCTTGTGGTTGTACTCCAATTTGTAGTTTCGCAACAGCTTGGCCAGCAGAATTTGCATCTCCAGGTCAGCGAACCGCCGACCCAAACACATTCGTGCTCCATAACCGTAGGGAAGCGACGCAAAAGGATGCAGGTTGCCGGGAGTTCCTCCATGTTGTGGCTTTAACCACCTCTCCGGTCGGAAGGTAGCCGCGTCCGTCACATACTCCTCCATATTACCGGTGACAATAGTTGGAAAGACTGCCTGCACCCCCTTGGGCACCTGGTAACCACAGATGACACTGTCCTCCATCAAGGTGCGTCCATTTCCGATCACCGTGCTGTACATGCGGAACACCTCCTTGATGAAGGCCTTTAAGTGGTGCATCTGATCCAGCAGTGGAATAGTGAGCGGTGTGTTGGGATCCGGAAGCAGTCGCTTCAGCTCCTCGTGCACTTTTTGCTGCTCCACTGGTCGAGTGGCCAGTTGATAAAGCATGGAACATACTGCCATGGATATCTGAGAGTTAAAGATTTGTTAGAGTTTCTATTGACTTGCAAATATTATTTTGGAACTTACTGTATCTATTCCGACTAGAATCAAATCAAGAGCCATTATTGTGGCAATCTTTTCGTCCTTCTCCGACAGGATGACCTTCTCCACCAGCGAAGGCTCGCCGGCACGCTGACTGGGATCTTGAGTTTTCAGTCTCTCGGTGGCACTTTGAATGTATTTCATGCAAACGCTAAAAACAAAAGAAATTCATTAAAAACAGAATAAGTAATATTCTTTGAATGTATTTACCTCACAAAGAAGTTCATGTTCTTCACATAGCGAGTCCAAAGAGGCGTGGGAAAGTATCGCCAGTAGGGAGCTTTTAGCTCCAAAGTGGCCACATTCCGCAGGGCGTACTTGGCTGCATCAATGATTTGCTGGGGCTCCGAGTCCGGCTTCAGATTCGATTCCAGACAGCCCAACCGAGTGTCCAAAGCCACTCGACCAATGCCTAAATATTAGATACCATTATAAAATAGTTGGTATATTTAAACAAATAACACTTACATTCCAAGGACCATTTGTGAATCTCGTTGTCGAAATCTTCGGGCAGCTCTTGGTTTTCGTCCAGCAGCTGTTCGCAGCGCTCCAGGAAATCCTCGGTAATTACTTCCAGTGGTTGTAAATACCTCCGAATTGTCGATAATTGCAGCACTGGCTTCTGCACACGCGAACGGAACTCGCGCCAAGGTTCTCCGTGGCTGAATGGAATACGAATTAATAAGATTGCTTACAAAGTAGATAACTCCACCTACACTCCGACTACGCCGCCGAGTTCTCCGAAGAAATCCTTGCGCACCACGCTCTTGTATTTCACCAAACTGGGCATCGAGGGGCGGAAGGGAGTGGGTCCCTCGCTTCGATAGCACTGCGAATTTACGAAATTGCTATAGCTTAATATCCGACAACAGCAGACAATTTGTACGGTGCCATAAAACTGAGTAATAGCTGCGTGCCTTGGTGCCTTCGTGGTTCGCTGGTCATGCGGAAAGTCCCAAGCGGTTGGCGCGTCGTAAAGCTTACCTTTTCAATTTCGTCGGCATCGTAGATGAACAAAAGATCGGGTCTTCCAATAAGACCTCCAAATCGCACAATTCTGCCATAACGATCGTGCAACAGCGATGATATTTTGGCCACATCAGAGATGGTATATTGACCAATTATTGGCATCAATCTATTAAATAATCAAGGTTATACAAATCTCTATGACAATGAAAGATGCATTGACTTTTTCCGTCGGCGCAAAAATATGATTTGTGAGCAAAATTCGTCAGCATGCAGCAAAATTTTACACGTTATTAGGGCGACCTTGAATTTGGCGCTAATTGAACGCTAATCAACTGAATGACGTGCCGTCGAACGGGCTGTAAGTTAGGGCTTGGGATTAGACAGGTGTAAATTGCTGGAATCCCACACGCACATTTAACGAGAATCGTTAGGAGGCAGCTTTAGAGCCGCCCATAAATATTTAGTTAGCACAAATCATCGTTAAAACGAAGGGGTAAACACTCATCGGAATTGCGTGTTTTTTGCACAAGTCCAAACAAATGAGCGGTGGAAGAAACGAACATCATCATCATGGTCGTAAATTCAATAATTGTTGAACAAGCTGGCCGACTTAATTGGGTCAAGTGAAACGAAGAGTGTTTGGTTTTATTGCAATTGCAGTTTGCTCGGAGAAAGCGAGCAAGTTTGTGTCTTCAGTCTTTCGTTTTTCGATTCGCTTCTCTTCGGTTTCCTTACCTCCAGGTGTTCCCAAGAATGGGAATGGGTTTCGGTCCGGGTATTTGATTGTAGGGCAGGGCGTTTTGCCACTCCGAGGTGGAGTGTATTCGAGGGGCACTGGTTTCTTCCGAATCAGCCAGATGTGGACAAGTGGCTACGCCCGTGGAGTTTTTGCGGGTTTCCCATCGATTGGAAGCTGCACCGCCGATTTTTGAGACATTTCGTCGCAGATTGGAAACTGAGGCTGTGGAACGCCACGCCTGATTGGGAAGTTTATTCATTTTTCGGAACTGACAAAAGCCCGACACTGATTGAAATTCAAATCAGATTTCACTGCTCGCAAGCCTCGATTTCCAATTGTCTTCTGTTGACGTTGACACACCGAGATCCGCGGGGCAATGAAACTGGCTTCTAGCGGGAACCGCAATCAAGTTCCACACGTAACGGCTGCCTGGCTCAAACTACTTGCGGCACCAGCTCCAGCGATCCAAACAAGCTGTGTATATTTTTTAATGCTCTGCAGCTGGCTCTCTTCGCGGGCTTCAAAGAGAAAGTGCCGTAATGCTCTTAAGCTTTAGGTATGGATTAATATAAAGGAAATAAGGAGAATGTTTCGACCTCTCCAATTAGCATATATTTTGTTCCAAGGGGTTTGTCTGTATTTTTTTTCATATACTTAATATTTCTCTGCATCTCATTTACAATTTGTATTACTTACGCAAAAGTATATATGATATATTTAGGAAAAATGAGTCTAACTATGTTAAATGGTTTTTATAAAACATAACAAATAAATGTCAAAAGAAACTAAGAGTTCCAATTGGTCGGGTGGCCAAACCGAAAATATTTGAAGTAACAGGCGAACATAAAGCTACTCTTTGAATTTCTTACTTGATCTAAAAGTATTTTTAAAACTCCCATCTAATACATTCTGTTGACCTGTTATTTTAAATCTAAGTGAAACAAATTTCCTCGTTGAAATCCTTTGGCCAAGCCCAACATATTTAACCAAACCCCACTATGAAGTACCAGCCGCAATAGTAGGTGGCTATTCTTTTTTTTTAAGATTTTCCACTTGATCCCAAAAGTATGCGACACTTTCGGTAGTTATAGCCGATGCATCCCGCATCCTCATTCCATTCCATCCCAAATAAAGCCAAGTAAGACATAATTTTCACATATTTTTTATATATTTAGTAATTTCTTTTGATTACAAAGTTTACGTTCAATACAATACAAAATTTTACAATTTTCAAAATGCATTCCTTGAGGTTTACATTTTAACGCATTACTGAGTTTAATGAGATTGTTGTGCAAAACAATGTTGAATACAGTGAACAATGTTTATAGTGAACAACGCATAAAATTAGTAAACTTTCCTGGCAATAAAAACTTTGAAGCATTCAAAGTCTCCTTTTTAAAAAGTTGCATTTATGCTTTGCGCAATATAACAGACAGTGTCATGCCATCTTTTTTTAATAGTTAAGTTTAAATCGTAAATGCTTTGCTGGCTTAGTCTAGAACTTGACTTTATAGCTTAAGTAGTTGTGTGGGATTGGCGACAAATCATTGAATGGCACGTATCAAACTCATAGATTTAAAACAATATTGGAGAACACTTTAAGGGGCAAGTTTAGATCGAAATGTTTTGATTGTTTGTTGGGGTTATAATAGCATAAAAGTTACGTTCTTAGGGTCGCGTTACTAGTATGAAACTTAGCTTAGATGCTGTATGCATATGAATATAGAATGGCATATGTATGTGGGGCTTAGACTATAAATTAAGATGATTCAGAGTGATAAATATGAAATGTCGTGTGACAGCTAGAGAGACAGATCATGCTCAATATATGTACGTTCCATCTGTTTCCTCGCTATCCGTTCTGTCCCCTTGTTTTTACACCCTTCTTATCCGATAATTAACTATGCTTATGTGCTATTTATAGGTATGAATGTGTGTATCTAGGCTTACAAATTTATATGGCTGCGTCGTTCGTATTTACAGTTCTTTTCGGTCATTAATATATCGCACATTTGATTAACTAAAACTAAACGGACCTCACCGAAGGCGAACCTAATTCAAGTTCAAGTCGCTTCAATACATTTCACAAATTCGAGTTAAATCATTAATATAAAACAGAAACTAAAAAACAAGTAACATCTGTTGTTTGACGACTAATACTTTCAGCCAACCGATCGAACCGATCGAAGGTTTTGATGGCGGCTTCAGTGTTAACACTCGAACTCATTGGCCGTTATGGCGCTCAGATCCTTCATGAGGCCCTCCAGATTGGCCATTTCCTGGTTGAGCTCCTCGGTGGACGTGCTGGGTGCCAGTCTTTGAATCTCATCGGTTGAATGGACCACCGAGCCGCCGCCCTGCAGGCGATTGGGCGTGGCGGCCGAGAACGATGGCTTCTTGTATGGCGATTGGTTTTGTGGACGTATTGTGACGGCGGGAGCTGAAGAAAGAAGTGTGGGATTAATAATTGTAGTACAAATTAATTCATTATTATTAACAATACTCACTATGTTTATTGATGGGCGTGGCTGCTCCTGTGGGCGGTGGCCCTGGAACGCTGAAGCTCTTCAGAGGATGCCCACGTTTGGCGCTCTCAATGGTAGACACACAGCCATTACCAGCGGCTCCACTGCTCGCATTGCTAAAACGCAAAAGCAAAGAATTACAATATATACCAGTTAAAAATGACTATTTATTCAAAACTATATTCCAACTATATATAATGCTACTAAACAAGGGCCAAGACTGCTCTAAACATTCGACTGCCAGGACATTAGGAGTCCTGCTTGATCACCAGCCGATTGCTAGTGCCCAGAAAGTGCAGCTTACGCGCCAGCTGGATCTGCTGCGCCTTCCTGGCCAGCCGGATGTACGGCTGGCGATCGGAGACGGACATCACGTTCCACGTGTACGTGGCCAACTCGGTGATGGTGGCCGCGGTGCGCATGCTGTAGACGCCCCTGTACTGATGGTTGATCAGGATCTCGTCCAGCCGGAACTTGTTCATGAAGTTGAGGAACGGCGACGGCGAAGCCATCAAAAGGAGCTGCTGCTCCACGCGCCGCGGCAGCGTTTTGTTGTTCAACTTGATGACCCTGCTGGATGGTCCTGGCACCAGGCTGACCTGCAAACTGGGATCGATGCGTCCCCAACGCGTCCTCGAGCACATTTTTTGGGTATTTTTGTAGTGGATTACGTGGATTTATTTTGGAATTTTGTATAATTTCTAGCACACAGCCAATGGGATTGCTCAAATCGAAAAAATATAACTAAATAAGCACCGCCCACTTTACTCACCAGAAATTGGCATCGTAACCGCCATAAGGATGCTCCGGTGTCTGAGCCATCGAGTTGCTCTGCGGCTGGGTGAGGCTCTGCTGGGAGAGACCCGCCTCCATGGTCATGTGGGATCGGTTCTGGTGGCTGTACTGCGTGCGCGGATACTGCGGTCGCTCCATGGTTCCGTTCATTGAGGTGGCTGCAATGGATATTCTGTGTTAATTTGGATCTCTTTACCAATATAATAATGTCACTCACTCATATATCCTGGCACATAGGAGCGCTTGTCCAGGGAATTGGTCACATGACCTGGCACTGGTGTCTCCACCTCGTACTCGCTGTGCACCACCGAACGGGGCAGAGTGAGGGCACCACTGCTCGACGCTCCGTCGCTGCAAACTGGAGTCACTGTGTGCAAACCCTTGTCGATGTTCTTCAGCTCCATTTGATCATGGTGTATCCATAGATCCGGAGGCTTGGGCACGCCCACGTTGTTCTTTTGGTAGCTGCAAAAACATAACATTTAGAAATAAACTCCAGAAAGCAAAAATAGTAAGAACCCACCTCTTCTTCGTATGTTCTGGTGAGGATTGAGGCTTACGACGGCACAGCATCAGGATGCCAACGAGGACCAGCAGCAGCACAACTGCTGTCGCCGCAATGATGATGTACAGCAGCTTCTCGTTGTCGATTCCCTTGGCGATGGTGTCGGCCTCCTGCATGATGACCGCTGCACTGGTGGTGTAGGAAACCAGAGCTGAGAACGGAGCATTATTCGTGCCCTTTGTGGTTCTCGCCTGGACTTTAAAGTAGTACGTAGTGTATGGCTTAAGGTTCGGTAGCATCAGCATGGTCTCTTCGCCAGCGAAGGCCTCCACTGACCAGTCGCGATCCCGCTTTGTGGTATCAGTGGTGTAGTAGATGTTGTACCCGGTGATCTGACCAACAGTGTGCTTCGGTGGAATCCACTGAACAATCACATTCGGTGGATTCTGCTCATCCAGGCGAACTGTGACCTCGCGAGGCGGAGTGACTGGCACATTTTGATAGGTGCTATTCAACACGGACATGGACCACGATGATTCCCTTCGACCCTTGACCACCTTAACTGCAAACTCGTACTGCGTATTGGGTCGCAAATCGTTGATCATGCAATTGAGATCCGAGGTGTTGTGGTAGCGATAGCGATTGGATCCCGTGATGCCGTAGCTGACCGTGTAGTAGCGATTATCCGTGACATGCTGGTTCTTGTTCAGCATCGTGTCGATCCAGTAGACCACAATCGAGGAGCTGGACATGGTGATGGCTCGCAGACCCACCGGAACCTCCAGTGGAGTGGGTGCATCCACTGGCTCCTCGTCGCGTGTCTTGATATTATCGTAAATGGGTGGACCGTCCCCCTTCACATTCCTCGCTCTCAGCGACACCACATACTCCATGTTCGACTCCAGGTTCTTGAGCACATGATAGCGCTCCGTCTCCTTCAGTTCGATGGTGTTCTCGTCGGGAATTCCGCGACCCCAGCCCAGCACGTAGTTGCGTATCTTGATCTCCGGCTGTTGTGGTGGACCCCAGTGCAGCGCAATGTTGTTCGCTCCCGGATGAATGTTTATCCAAATGGGTTTGCCAGGTACTTGAGTCTCATCCAGATCATTTTCGAGTGTGTTGACGCGATACCATTCCGTGAAGGGTCCCGATCCGTTCACCGTCATGGCGGCAATCTTCACCTGGTACTCGGCATTGCGATCCAAGCTGCTCAACTCGAAGTAGCGAATGTTGGCCGGCGTGCTCTTCACCTGCGGTGCATCCTTGAACTTGCGATAGCGAATCTTGTAGCCTGTGATCTGACCATTGCGATCCTCCTCTGCAGGCGGCTCCCAGTGAACGGTGATTGACTAAAAGATGAGTTTATAAGTAGGTAAAAGTGATTTCCCTTTTATAATTTGAATATACTTACACTAGAACTCGTCACCTCCAAAGTGACATTATTTGGCGGCTCCGATGGCGTGGAAGAGAACGTCTTCACCCGGATTTCCGAGGAGGGATCTCCCATTCCATTCCTATTGAAAGGCACCACAGATATCACGTAATCCGTGTGGGGACGCAGCTCCGTTAGCACAGCGTCCAACGAAGTGCTTTCGTGATACAAATCAGCACCGCTGTCGTTCTGTAATTTGCAAATTGATTGATTTACCTTTCTTTCGATGTTTAATTTATTTTTCTTAACTCACTTCGGAGTAGTAAACGCGGTACTTGAGAATCTCGCCGTTGGTTACCGCCGGCTCTATCCATTTCACATAGATCTCCTTGTGGCTGCGGGCGAATCCCTCAAAGTTGCGCGGCGGACCTGCAATGTTCACCTCCGGCTGGGTGCTGACCTCCAGTGCAGCCGAAGATGCTCCGTTGCCGAAATTGGTGTTTGCCTCCACTCGAAATTGGTAGGTTCTGCCCGGCAGCAGAGATTGAATGTTGACCTGTTGATCATCGTGCGACTTGGTGACCATTTTTTGTTCCCTAAAAATCGTAGTTTGGAATGTGAATTATTTATTGCTTCTTAAGAGATCTTTTCTTGATGGTCGATAAATTTTTAATCTGCCTGGATATTGGAAGTTAGATGTATTTGATTTTAACCCATTAATGTTGTAAAAGTAAGGAAACATCTGAGGTACCAAATGGACATTAAATTTTGCAAGGTTCAAATAGTTGTATTTAATTTTAGTTGTGTAAAGAATTGCACATTTAATGTGACAAAATGTGCTGGTTGAATTTGAAACATAATAATAATAATTATTGTTATTTGCTTGCTAATGTATTTTACTAAACATTGTAGGGGTTTCGAGCAGTCGGTAAATTGTGTTATGTTACTTTTATAACCTCCTGGCATTTCAGTAGTTTAATATTTTTTTCGCTGTGGAAGGTTTTTTAATCAGCTCACGCACGAGCTCCTTGAGTAAGTGAGTAAGTCAGGAAATGGGCACAGGATGAATTCCAGACAGAAAGCCCGCCTTTCTGTCTGTCTGTCTGATTGAATCGAAAGCGAAATCATTTCCGGTTGACTGAAGCAAGGAAGCCATTAGGCGATTGACTAACTATGCTAATAGGGTTAATCTCCGCTAATTGCTAATTGCTGGTTAATGAAGCGGATGCCAATTATGCGGATAGAACTCACTATAACCACTCACCTCTCGCTGTTGTTCATCTTGTAGTAGACGGTGTAGTAGACCACATCGCCGGCATTCTGAAGGGGTTCCACCCAGCTGAGGGTCACGAAGCGGGACTTCACTATCTGGGCCACCAGATCACGAGGGGCACTGGGCAATCTGGCTTGGAGTCCACTGTCGAGGGGTTTGCCTGCCGGATTCGGTTTACTCGGATCCTGTTCGGGGGAATCTGGGGAAGCAGGGGATTGTTTTTGCTGCTGGGATCTCTTGCTATTGCTCAACCGCCAGGAGTCCAGTATTTTCTGCGGATCCTCTCCCTGTTTATAGGCCTCCAGAAGAGCCTTTTTCGTAGCCGGATCGTCGTTATCGTCATCGTCGTCATAGTCGTCGTCGTCCTCGTAACTCTTGGATTGATTTTCGAGTGGCAAAGCACTTGCTGTGTTCAGAATGTTGAACATGCGATCGTTCAAAGGTTGCTCGAATTTGGGAAGCTTTCCATTCGGCAACCTAAGTCGTGTCGTACTGGAGTCGTCCTCCTCGTCCAAGTCATCGTCTTCACCCGAAAAGCGAAAACTTCCACCGGATTTGGTGCGCAGTTGCTCACCGGAATTGAAGGGTTTGCGTCGCTTGGTCAGGTTGTCAAAGGTCTGGAGGGACTTGGTGGACTGGCCTTGGGATTTACGTTTTTTGATTTTCACTTTGGGAGTGGGATGCCCAGGTGGTTGGATGGTTGTTGTTGTTTGTTTGGGGTGATATCGAAATGGAAATGAGGCGAGGTTAAGGGAAATAAAAGAACAAACAAAAGAGAAACAATAAGTTAATAAATTATATTCGAAATTAATAGAATTCATTTCACGTGATTAAATGTTGATTAAAATCTCCTTTGCGTTTGCGGTTCGCATTCAACGAATCATTAATTAATGTCAATTATGCCTTTAAGCCGCTTAAGCGATTTATATAGTTATTTAAATCAGAAAAGCAAACAGAGGACAACTACCATTGAATCGTTTCAAGCTGAGAAATGTTAATAACTTATTTATAGAACAAAGAAAGGATTAAATAATAGCTATTACAATGGCGCAAACACAAAAGAGATTTTCATGTTTTATGATAAAAATAATTTGAGTAATTTAATTTATGTCTACACAAACAATACACACATAGACGTATACGAAATTATTTTACAAAAGCAGGACGAACGAAAGGATGTTTATATAACAATGGAAAAGAGGGGAAGTTTGGTGAATTAGCCTTTAAATTTCGTTGGGTCATTTTACAGGCCTTAAAAAGGCGCCAATTCTTTTCAAGCTGCACAAATACTGGACACCGAGCTAGATCTACTTTGGGATATATATTGTATTATCATTTGTTAATCCACTCACCTCCTTGGGGAACAACTCGCAGACGTGCTGCTGCATGGACACTTCCGGCGGCATTGGTGCCCACGCACTGGAACATCCCTGCATCGGAGTTCAGGAGGCCGAGGATCTTCAGGTTGTGACCATCCACCAGTTGCATGTAATCGTTTGGAGTTATCAGATCCCCGTTCTTCAGCCAGCGAATCGTGGGTTTGGGCTTTCCCCAGATGTCGCATTTTAACTCCGGTTCATCCTTTTCGTGAGCAGTTGTGTCCTTCGGTGCCTTGATGAACTTCGGTGGCTCCTGGACCTGCACCGTTGCCTGAGCATCGAGGGAATCTACTGTGTTGCTTGCTCGGCACTGATAGTTCCCCGAATCAATATCCTCTGCACTGGAGATCTGCAGGGAACCCGTTCCAATGATGGAGAAGCGGGAATCCAGATCGTTGAGATCCAAATCCATGCCGTTGCGCAGCCATTTGATCTGTGGCTTGGGCACTCCATTGGCCACACAATCCAGGGTGACGGTATCGCCTTCCCTCACAGTTTTTGGAGAGGGTCCAACGAGGAATGAAGGAGCCACCGCGTTCTCCGCTCCCGGTTCACTGGGTTTCTTGATGTTCAGATTGGTTTTACTGCTCAATCGAGAGGAACTTCCCGAGGTCACATTGCACTGGTAGGAACCCCGGTCCGAGGGCCCCACCTCATCGATCTCCAGTGCTCCATTGGGCAGCACCACCATGCGCAGCTTGTCCAGCGGAAGGGGCAGGTCATCCTTGAACCACTGCACCGAATGCTTGACGCCCTCCTGCCAACTGGCCTCGCCCACCATGCAGCGGAAGTAGGCCGTCTGTCCAGGCAGCAGGTACGTCTCCAGGAAGTCCTGGTTGAGATCCGGCTGGCGGGCAATGGCCACCAGAGCCGGGCGACTCAGGACACTGCCCACGCCCTCGGCACTCAGCAAACACTGATAGGCGCCAGTTAGTCCACGGTTCTCCTCCACGGATGAAATGTACAGCGATCCGTTCTTCAGCTGGGTGCGGAACGTGTCGCCCACGATCACGAGGTCCTGGCCATCGGGTCCTCGCCACCGGATGCTCACCGGAGTGGGCGTGCCCGCCTTGCCTTTGCCCGCGCGACCCGTGGATGCACTTCCCGCGCACTGGAGCAGCACTGAGTGACCCTCGGGCACCACTGCATCCTGCGGCTCCAAGGTGAACGAGAGAGCTGCAAAAAGAAATGCACAGAAGGGGGGAAATTAATGCACTGTCAGAAAAACGAAGGGTAAAAGTTCTTCACATAAATAAATTATTGCAATAAGTTTTTCTAATCAAATATTAAATTTTAGTTTTAAATAATCTTATATTGTTTCCCTGCGGATATAATTTTCAGGATACAGTGTTACATATGACATTAGAACATATTATAATACACATGTTGGGGATAACAAATAATTACTAACTAACTAAAATGTATTAAAAAGACAGTTCCTTAAAGATTATATAAATAATTTTATTTTATGGATTTTGTTTTGAAAAATCTTTATTTTTCCTTCTGCGAAAAAAACTCTACACATATCAGTAATGCAGTTTTAAAAGTACAATTTTTTGTGTGTTTTCTATTTTCCTTTGGTTTAATCCTAAGTGCGTTTTTATGGCATTTTTGTATTTCCCCAATTGCTTGAATTTATTTTTCCACTTCGGGAGTAATTTTTCCTGTGTGTGGAGCCGGCACATCCGAAAAGAGGTATGTGGTGTGGTGGCTTGACTTAAGGCAGCCGCCCCCAGTTTACCGGAGTGTGCCTCCACTCGAGGAGCGGCAGCTTCTGCAATCTGTCAACTTGTAAACATGGCTGAATAATTGAGGCTACAAAGGCCAACTCTCTCTCGGAGGCATGCGGCACCGAAGGCAGGGAAGGAGGATGGCAGGACTGGGAGGGAAATGCGAAGGGGGTCGCCAGGGGCACGCAAATATTTGCATTTCCACTTTGGAGCGAACCGGCGGGGGTGGCGAACTGGGTGAAGGGAATGTCTGGGCTTTGGAGGGTTGCAGGCTGTAGGTTGTAGGGCCTGCCAATGAATAACCCAACATGCCGGAAAGAAAAATCGAGTAACGCAAGGAACTCAGTGCCTGGTATCCTCAAAGCCAAGGATACACAGGATAAAGGTGATGCGGACAAGCTGAGTGGGTTCACTCGAAAGATGTGAGGATTTAGCCATTAAAAGCTAAGTTTATAAGTTAGAAATTATAACATTAGAATAATTTGTAAATGGGTATTATTATATACTTCATATCTTTATTATTTTTAAGTTTAAGAAGAACATAAAGAACACAGAATAATCTGTGTACCCATTTACAATTATTACTACAATTATTTATTATATACTTCATATCAAAATTATTTTTATATTTGTACAGTATCTGTAGAAGTTTAGTTCCTCGGCTTTTTATACCCTTGCAGAGCAAAGGGTATTATAATTTCAGTCAGAAGTTTGCAACGCAGTGAAGGAGACACCTCAGACCCCATAAAGTATATATATTCTTGATCAGCATCACCATCTGAATCGAAATATGTATGTACGTCTGTCCGTCTGTCCGTCTGTCTGTCTGTCCTCCTGTCGGTTTCTATGTAAACTAGTCTCTCAGTTTTAAAGCTATCTCGCTGAAACTTTCCCAAAAGTTGTGTAGTTGTTGCACGCAGTATATATGTCGGAACGAGCCGGATCGGGCGACTATATCGGATAGCTCCCATACAAGAGAATGAAATAAAAAATGTTTACACCGTTGTTTTTGATCAGATCGACTTGACTCCTTCCAGATGGCGTTTTCTAACTGCTATTGAATTTCGGATTAAATTTTATCAAAATCGGATAACTCTATCATATAGCTGCCATAGGAGAGATCAAAAAATATATATATAAATAATGGAAAAAAATTATAATGTCGTTGTTTTTAATGCCACGAGCATGATTTTTGGAACATAAAGTTTTTTAAATACTCTTAAGTTGAGAAAAAAATTTCATAAAAATCGGAGTACTATATCATAGAGCTGCCATAGGAAAGATCGAAAAATCTATATAGAAATAACGGAAATATAATTATAACCTCGTTGTTTTTCATCAGACAATAATGATTTTTGGAATATAGAGTTTTCTAATGAGTCTTGAGTTACAAATTAAATTTCATTAAAATCGGACGACTATATTATATAGCTGTCATATGAACAATATGGAAAATTAATAGAAAAATCCTCATAGCTTCGATGCTCTTTAGCTTTTATGTATTTTGTTCGGCATATTTAGTAACTGCAAGGGTATATAAGCTTCGGCTTGCCGAAGCTAGCTTCCTTTCTTGTTTCGGTATAAAATAAAATAACACTGTGCGACAAAAAAATGTTTGAGTTGATTTTTTCTTATTTTTTACTTCTACTAGTCAAAATAAGAATACAAGTTTTTGGATTTGTTAATATCAATAGCCAATCAGCTTCTACGCACACTCAAAGGTCCCAAAAACGCGTGTTTTTGCATATTTCACAGCCTTATAATACCATATTGGGAAAATATTTTTTCACCGTTATAAGCGTTTTATGCAAGCTCAATATCTATTAACTAAAATATATTAAGCAAATATACCGTTAGGCTTTTATAACAATGCTTTAAAAATTTTTTCTCCCAGCTCTATACTCTGGGCGACTACGTATGGAACTTTTTACGCGAGGATACCTCTAAAAAAGCCAAAAAAAATCAGAAAAAAATTTCACTTTAAAAAAAAATAATAGTTTGTTGGAAGTAAAAAAAAAAATAATATTTTGTGTTAAATATTTTCATAATAATAATTTCATAAAATTTATCATAAAAAAAGAAATCCTATCACTTAGAAGGTGGCATAAATATTTTTGTGCATAACTTATGCCCCTTAACCGAAAACAATCAAAAAAGTAACTCAAACAAACATTTCGTTAAATTTTGTCGCACAGTGTAATGTGCCCATGTAAAAGGGCAAATTAACCCTTTTTTTCACTCATCACTGAACCAAAAAATAAGTACATATATAAATGGAATCAGCCTTTAATTAGGCATCGAGTTCCAGCCGGAGGAGCATGAGTAAACTGCTGCTGGAATGATGACTTAATTTACGAGATTTATTCAGCTGTACAAACGACTTTGGCGTCATGAATTACGCATTACATTTCATTTCTCTGCAATTTAGTCTGCCAGGATATTCGGTGCTCGGGATTCAGGCTGCACCTGCAACTGGTTTGGTATGCTTTCCCCTAAAGAACCCATCTGCATTCTCCCTTTTGCCAGAATGGACACGAATTTGACCGCCCGTGAACTTAGGCTTTTTGCCAGGAGAATTCTGGAGAAATATGCCTGCCATTTATTCGCTTTGTTTTCTACTTTGCTTCCCCGCTTGAAATTCCCCTTACTTTTGAGCCAAAGTTTAAGCAGAGTTATGCGAACCGTGTGCAGTTGGTTTCGGCCATATTAACTCCACTCAACTCTATTAGGGTAAACTACTTAGCGGAGGTCCCCCGTACTTCCCCCCATTTGACTCTCGAAACTCCACGAGTGAGTGCGCCTTGTATTTCACATTTTATTCGAGCATTCGAGTCGAGTCTCAACGTGTGGCTTTTATGGTTATTGCTTTTGGGGTCTTGGTCTGATGGAGCAAGAAGAAGAGGAAGAAGCTCAACCTCAACTCTTTCCTCACATTTCACTTGATGAAATTGTGTTCTTTAAAACATTCAACTCCTCCCCTTCGAGTGTGTGTATTTTATGGCCAGCTTTTAGGAGCTGTTAAGACAAACATGCAAGCGTAAAAAAGAGAAATGAGCGGGTAATTGATCTATATAATTTATAGTATATAATATCCTCTTTCCATACCTCTCTTTATTTTTTTTGAACCCCCGTCAACTGTCAAGGTGAAATGAACTGAGTATAATCATGAGTTCAGTCGAATTTAATTTCAAGGCAGCTGCAGTTCAATTGCTACCTGCATTTTTCACCCTTTTATTCTCACTTTTTTGCAGCTCAATTTCAGGGAAACAGACCCGCATTTCAGCTGCGGGTTTGCTGCATATTTTACGTATTTTTTTTTAGCCTTATTAAATAATTGTTCTGCAGCGCAGCTCTAGGCATTCGACTCTAAATCAAATGGAGACATCTCGCTACTATTCGGTTTTTATGGCTCCGCAGCAGCAGGGAGCTGAATCCAATTAAAAACTTTATTGCTCGAATTGATTTTTATTGTACACTTCTTCGGCTGCAGATAAATAGAGAAAGGGAGATACAATTTCGAAAGTCAAAGAGGGAAAGAGGTTATCATCGCTGCTCCCAAAAAAATTGTGTCAATTGGTTTTATTTCCCTCTTTCGTTTTCAGTGTTTTTTTTTTTTTTAGTGCCGGCTGACTTTCCATCTCTCGTTATCTATAGGATGGTTTTAATTATGACTGTGGGGGTGGGGAGATACCACGCCCACGCATTCACACACATGCCCCCAAAAAAATCCATAATTAATAAATTAAACCAATTAAATACAAAAGAGTCGATTTGAAGTGGCGTTTCATTAAAAGCGTAATTGCAAAGAGAAATTAATTTGGTGTTTCTGGCTTCATGAAAGCTCAATTAATCTGGCATTGCGGATTTATGTGCATTATTATTAATATGGGAGGCCTGAGTTCCGCACTTGAAAGTCCGTACTCTTTGGCTTAAAAAGAAAAGTTCATGGCAATTATAATTCTCCTCAACTTTTATGCAAAATGCCAGTTCTTAGTCCTTGGTGCATGCAAATTTTGCCAGCAAATGCACTCGGCTTTTAACGGCTTAGGAAATGCATATTATTTTAAAGCATATTTCCCTGTACATAAGTTTTTGTGTACCTTGCCTTGTGCATTTTTGTCAATCTCTTGTTGGCCTTTGTCTGCCTTCAACAGGAACACAAAAAAAAGGGCTACAGAAACAAAAACCCTTTTTGCATTATTTGAATTCCTCCCCTAACATTTTACCCCATCCACTCACTTTTTACTGGCCTTTTCATCCTGAAAATATTTTTTGTTGCTGGGCAAATAACCAAAAAGAGAAAAAACAACTCAAATTGAAAACTGAAAAGAGTTGATTTGCTTTAATTGAGCAAACATTTTGTACAAATTTTGTTATTCAATTGAGTTTGCCATTTCTGTAATTACGCTCGACGCGTTCATTGAATCAAATTAAACAATTATAATTCAGTCAGATTTGTGCGTTCACAAATTTCCTAGAAATCCCCGCTTTAAAAACTGGAGCTCTACGTCCGAAGAAGGAGAAATGGAAAAATGGCTTAATTGAGTTTAATTGTTGGAGCGGACCTACGAAATCAACTCGACAAGTCACGCAGCAGGCATTTACATAAGATTAACGACAAACAAAAACGAGAAAAAAATAGAGGAAAAATTCAAAAATGAATTTGATGCACTTTGTTGCGAGTCAAAAGTGATCCAAATTCGTGGATAAGAAGGGAAAGAGCGGGGGGCATTGGTACATGAATATTTATGATATTCCAATGAATTTGCATATTTTACGATTTTTCATTTACAGACGATAAAGCCCAAAGGAGGAGCAGCAGGCTTAGATGGCGACAGTTTCTCCGGCTCCTTCGGAAAAAATAAAAACAACTCGCTTTTGCCATATGCAAATTGCAGTTTGTTGGCCGATAAAAAATTAGCAGTTCGAAGGAAAAGACTCCGTAAACATTGGTACAGTGAAAAATGTATGGCCAGAAAAGACATGACAGACTTGTGCGAGGTGAAGAAATATTATGTAGTATACACAGAGAAAAATGTTCGGTTTAAATGAATACGTCTTCATAAAGTATAAACAAAATGTTTAGTTTAATAAGAAAATATTTAACCAAAGAAAATTGTTATTTTGTAATGGTTTATTGATATTTTAAAAGAAATTTAGATGAAAGTTTGAAGAAATCAAATAGTATAGTAAATATAATAATCTATCTTAAATATATTTTTTTGATTTTTTGTCATAACTAAACAAACTAATTTTTGATAGAAATGCTTTGCAATGCGAATCAACAGGCTGCAATAGATTGGCAATTGCTTGGGAAAATCTTTGTTCACATATTTTCCGTATGCTCACATGATTTCCAATCAAATGGCAGAGTTTGCGAAGCGAAGAAGCCAATCAAATTAGCATATGGCCAAAAAGAGAAAACTCCCTAAAAGGAGGCAGCTGCACGCAAGAGACGCGCACAATTAGGCACAAAATTTCCATTTGCCAGTCAGGCGAAGAGCAAATTTCTAAGGAGACAAAAAAAGAAGCAAAAAAAAAAAAAAAAAAACAAAACAAAACGCCACAAAAATTTCGCATATCAACGGGCCAAGATCAGAAGGAAAAAAAAGAGGGAAGGCCATTAGAGGCAGCTAATGGTAGCACCTTTTAAGGTTAAATTGGGCAGGAGCCTCTCGGTCCAAACCGATGTTCGGTTGGCCAACTCCTGGTCGCCTTATCGCCGGTCAAATTTATGCACAGCTCGCAAACTAAGGGTTAAATGTGCCAATAAGCCAAATGCGGGTGTACCCGAGTGACGCAGCCAAGGAGACCAACCAAACCAGATGGGACAAAGGATAAGGTCAAGGGGTTTAGGCCAGGTTATACCCTATATTATGAAACCAAAACTTAAGAATACTTAATGTATTTGTGGAGAACTTATTTACATCTGTCTAAAAAATAATAAACAATTCTTCCCTTTTTTGGTGAGTCGTGTTGCTGCTAGTAATTATTTTGTTCTTAATGAATTTGTTAAATATTTGAGTTTAGGGCAAAGTTTTTTATATGTATCTGTATTAATACAATATTGAAGTTTTTATTACAAGTACTGATAAGATTGTCAATTTCAAAACATAATAAATCTATTTGGGAAAAATTATTAACATTCTAAATAAATTTGTTGCAAACCAAAATAAGCATAATAAATTCCTTAGATCCCTTATGGTATTTACCAATTACTAGCACAATACCCCCTGCATTAACTTTCTAATTCCAGGGTATAACTAAACCGAAAATCGCCAGCTAAAATCTGTAAGCTTCGCAGCAGTTTGGCCGCATTTGCATTTTGCCCCACTATCGAAATGTGCATCGCACGCTCACGCGACGCGAAAAAAAAGCCACAGGCTGCAACTCGCCACTGCAGCAGCGCCCCAAGTTGCAACTGCAACTGCTGCAGCAGCAACTGCAACTGCAACAGCAATAGCCGGAGTAAAATCCACTGCAGCAGAAACTGCAGGCGAAGACCGGGGCATCCGTCCGCCATCGATTGGCTTGCCAATGTTGATTTTCCGTTTGGTTAGCTCACCTCCGTCCAAACCTCCAAACTCCCCCAAACAAAAGGAAATGCGCCCGCCAAATAAGAAGGAAAAACGCAAATGTATGCAAGAAAAAAAATTAAAAGAAAAAAAAAAGAAAAGGCAAGGAAAGGGGGGAAGAAAAATAAATAAAATTGCTGCGAACGGAAACTGCATCGACAACGACTGCATTGACCCCCTTTTTCCTTTTCCTCCCACGTGCGTGTGAATTCGCCATGGATTCAGTGTTCCTCCTCCCTTTGCCTTCCTTTGGAGGCAGTTCCTCCTCCCTTTCCCTTCCTTTTGCCCAACTCCTCCGCCACTTGGTGGGTATTTTATTGCAGGAGTACCCCCAAGGAAAGAAAATCGCATTGCCCACGTTGGCCAAAGTGCAAATACCCAGGGAGAAAAAAAATTAAGCCAATTTGGATGAATATTTAATTGCCTAGCGGGAGGAAGATTAAAGAGGGTAGAATCCAGAATACTAATGGAACTTTAGTTTTTTAAAGCATACCTAAAGCATAGAAAGACATTAAAGACTTAAAAGATAATTAAAACCACAATCATTAATTTTACTGAATAATAAAACAATTTTGTATGTATCTTAAAAGTGAATAAAAGCTGAAGTAAAAACTTTAAATGTTTAATTGGCAATCTTCTTTTACCAAACGCAAATACAAAATTGTATTTTAACAGCAATCAAAACTTTGACATATTTCTCGCAGCCCAATAAATAATTTCTCACAGCGGTATAAATCAATTCCCACCTGAACAAGGTTTTCCGCTCGATTGATTGTCACTTTCATCGCCTTGATTAACACCTCATGCGACACTTTTCCTTTTTTCCGCTAACTAAGCCGCAAAATGGCTAGACTAAAGTGGGATAGAGAAAAAAATTAAAGTGAAAAGGCGGCCATGGGCGGGAAAACCTTTTATGTTGAGTGTTGGCGAGGAGAAGGAAAGCGGCAGACGGATGGAAACGAGGGCCGTGACTTTGAAGAGCTGCCCAGAGATACAAATTCAAAGGCAACAGGATAAAGTCAAAGCCGCATTGCCGCATCCTGAATGAATACTATGTACTATCCCCAGAAATCCCCAGGAAAAGCGTTGCAGGTCCGAAATGGTGTACAAATATAATTATAAACGTCTGCCTGGCCATTAGGTGCTGCGTTGGAAGGAAGGAAGGCTCTGCCACCCCTGAAAACCCCGGAACATCCCCCACATTCTGCTCCAATTTGCCTAAGGGCGTGGCAACAGCTCCCAACCAACCCAACCACCCACCTACCCACCTACCAACTCCTCCCCCCAAAAAACCAGATGGGTCTAAATTTAGTCTGGCCCGTTTTGTCTGGCAGGTTTCATGGAAATTGTCGCATCAAGTGAAAACGTCAATGGAGAATCTGTGAGGCAAGGGAGCAGCTTTGATTTTGATTCCATTTTTTTTTTTTAACAACGTTTTGCCGTTTGACATTTGCCAGTTCAGTTCAATGGCCAGGGAAAAGGCAATCAAATTGATGACTTTGCTTCCCCATTCCGATTTCTGTGGCTACATTTCAATTATGCTAATTACAAGCAGCCATCAAACACCTAATGGTCAAAGGGCGGGGAGGATTTATGTAGGTCCCAACCCTCCGAGCTCTCCCCGAGTTCTTTTGCCCCCCAAAAATGCAACTTCAGGCTGTCTGTTTGCTGTGTCATTGAGCTATTGCGGTTCGGCTGCTAATTTATGGTCTTGTACTGAACCATTCCGTAACCCCGCCATCCGTAAATAAAACATAGAACTCTGCGCCTCGAGTAAATAGTAGTTTTTCGCCCCCCTCTTGAGGTTATAAACATGCCGACGAGCACACAATAGATTCCTCGTTTTTGCCCATGAAATTCTGCGCATAACCAAAGAAAATAAAAGAAAGGAACAGGAGAGGAGATATCCTTCTTTTGTCCTGGAAATGAAGTACTCAAATTACAGGGAATACAGGGAATACACGAGTGTGTGCGCCATAAAGCTGTCTGCAGCAATCCGATAATCATCTAAGGGGCTTGCGCCACTTCATTTCGGAACAACAAATTTTATTATGCAGAAGAGATTTCTTTTTCTTTTCAGGTTTGCGTGTGAAGCGCCGCCACAAAGTAGGATATGTAGATGTCTAGATATGGCCGCATTAAAAATAAAACTATTCTATATTGTTCCTGCTCCTCAGAAGAAAACTGCCGCAGGTTCTGAAAGCCTCTTCATAGAAAAAAAAAGAAATAAAGGAAAGAAAACCAGTGATGATGACAAGCAAGTCTGTTGCAGATTCCCTAGAAATGGTTTTCACTTTTTTTTTCCTTTTTTTTTCCTTTTTTGCTGCTTTTTCCCAGAGTTTGCAGCTAATTCGCTGCTGGCCATAATAATGCTTAAGCCAAGTAATAAACGCTGGTTTTTTTTTTTCCAGCTTCCCGTTTGGCAAGCAAAATCTTGGCTTGACTTTCGTTTACTTTGGAGGGCAAACAAGAAGCTGGCGCTTGTTGATCCATTCCATTCCTCAAGTTAATTAAAGTTTTATCAAGCGAAGAGGTAAAGAGGTAAGCACGCAGACTTCTTGAGGCATTTCCTGGAATGCAGTCGTCGTCGCCTTTTGCTCCTCCTCGAGAAGCCCTCATGTTTTATTCAATTTCAACTGTTGCTTTTGTTGTTCTCGACTGCGTAACTAGCTAAACTCGAGTTGTGAAGTACGAATTCCATCCGCAAAAGTGGTTTCAAATGCATTTCACCTCAAATGAAGTTGGGAAGGAAGGGGACTTAGCCCACGTTATACCATCATCATCTTCATTATGGCCATCATAGTATTCAGGTTGTGTCTTTCCACGTTTACTCGTCACCGTCTTCGATTTCAATCAATGTGCAGCAGCTTATTGAGATCTCTTCATCTCCATCTCCGTCTCCTCTTTCCCATTTTCCTTTCAGCGCGGGCTTTTGTTTTCCCTAACCTGCGGCTTTTCCACAGCAGCGAGTACAACAAAAGGAAATTCATTGAATAGAGAGCGCAGAGTTAAGCCTTCAGCAGTTTATGACGCGTCAGTTTCAATGAGTTCGTGCCTCAATGGATCCCTTCTTCGATGATGATGTGATGGTGATGATGGCTCTGCAGCTGCTGCCGAGTGGAGATTAAATGGAAAATCGTTCGGAAAATATATGTGTTTAACTAGCAGGATCAAGTTCACTCGACTTGCAGATTAACATTGCTGTCCGAATGTTTAAGGTTTTAAGTTTTCTTTTATACTCTACCAATCTCAGATATTCTACAACTATTTCCATACACTTATTTGCTTAAATATTATTATATGAAAAGCATTTTCATTGAGTTCCATACCTGTAAATAAAGAACAAAAAAAGCTATTAGTAATTGATGCATAATATTAATTGGAAATATTTGTTATATGGACAGCATAACCTCGATTCTTTTATGTAAACGCTTCTCCAACCACTGGTTACATGGAAATCGATAGACGGTGTTCGATTACACGCCCGATAAGATATGAAAAACCATAACTATGGAGACCACACATATAATATCTCGTGGCGGTAAAAATACCTTAACTGCCGCCATATTGTTAACTTTATCGATGTGTGTCAAAGAGCGCGGCTGCCGGTGAAAATTATAAATCAATTTCCAGGCATT